CACAGCAGTTTGCCTTCTAACTTAACAGATACACAAGGAACGAGATAACAATGTCTCTCTTCATCAGCCAGTCAAATATCAGAGTTCGAGTTAAAGATTTCTTTTAAAGGCTTCACCCTATCATTCTGACTGTGTTTCTAGGAGTAGGTTGTACTAATAAGGACATATGTTGAGTCTCACCTTTGGTACAAAGGTTGTATCAAAGCATGGGGGAGTGTCAAAGTGTCTGGTAAACACCAATAGAACTAATATGACTGTAAAAGGAAAGGTTAAGTAACGAAGCCTAATTGTTTTGCATTGTTGACATCAATGAAGACTGGATACTTCAGACCTCAGACCAAATCAGAACCTATTGAAAATTTGGGCCATCATTATACAATATGTGGTCCAACTTGTAATCAGATCCCTGGTTATATTCCAGCACAGGAACTCTTCTCCCACACCCACAAACTGTACCTATACATAGAGAAGTGCCAACAATGGCTGCCAAGGAGGTCAAACCTTCAGCAACACCGACAGCAACAGACATGTTTAGGCCTTTGGCATTAATCGGGGTCATCATGTCATCAACAATGGATGCCAATACAGCTACAGCTTTACATTTGGCCTTCATTCACTGTATTTATTGTAGAGACAATGAGCAAGGTACTGGTCTTGTATCTTATCAACTCTTGGAAAGAAAGTGAATAAGCATTTCCCACGATTAAATTTTAAAGAACAAAAAAAGTATTTAGTACAATGAAACACACCTCAGGGCCTTTACAGACTAAGCATATGATATCCTGGACACTTTTTATTTACCATGGCCAGAGGCAGTAGCAAAAACTCACAAAGAAAGACCTGTTTTTGTGTGAACAAGAAACACAAATACACTCCCATGCCTTTCACCATAACACAAGAGGAAGCAATATGCAGTCCTTTAAAAACTGTGGAGACAACTTTATCCCTCAGGAATCCTACAGTTAAATCAAACATCAAACAGTCAAAGATTGATTTGTAGAAATAAAGATTAATGAGAAGTAAGACCTGTGATGTGAAACCAACTTAGATTTTCCAATGACTGTTTTTAAAGTATTGCCTAAATATCTAATTCTATTCTAACTGTCTATAATCAACAATATGTTTTTGTTTTTTTTTTAACTGCACTATATTGTATTTTTGGATTGACACTCACTGGAAACTGAAAACCAATATAAAGTCTAACCCAGGACCTTCTGGCTTAAATAAGGCTAAAAAGAGGAATCAAGAATTTGGATTCACAGGACTAACTATTAGCTTCTGAGTAAGGAAATGAATCAGGCGTCACTTGGCACCTGTTACAACCCAGACTGTAGTAGTCTGGCTTGAACGCCATATGTTTGGTTGTACTGAGACAGGCTTTAATGTGTGCTCTGAAATCAAACCCTTAATCCCCACAGTATTAACACCAGACACTGTGGAGGTTCTGGGGCCTGTGTTAGGCCTACGAACTGCTGGCAGTTGTGACATTATCTCCCAGACAGTATGTCCACATTAAACAGCAATTGGATGACACAGTTACAGTAAGTTTAAAGCAGACAGCCACTTGTTTGCTTGAGCCAAATATCAGCATCTGCAGATACAACAGCAAATCCTTGATTTTAGTGACGCTGCAATGAACAACTAAACACAAATCTTTACTGGATATACATCTTAATAACCCCGCCCTCATGGATGGTTGTGCTAAAGTGTTACAGTGCCATAGACTGTAAAGACTCTATGTTGGTTTAGATTAAATCTAAGACCCCAATTTATAGAGTGGGATTTGGCCCCATGTGTCCCCATACACTTGAGAGGTACAGGATTTTGCAGGCTAATAAGCATTAGACCCTTGGACTGCTGGTGTGCAGTGTGTTAGCTTGCCAAACTGGCCACAAGGCTCTGAATCATTTCAGACTGCAACTCAAATGTGCACACCCAAAAACCCTTGAGGATTTGACCATGAAGAGAAATCCACTCTAAAACACTCTGCTGGCCAACTGTAGACAGCTAATGCAAGAGGCATAGATATCAATACATGTTGCTCATGGCAACAATAACAGTTATACTTCAGTGTTAAAGAAGTTGCTTTAAATGTCCGCACTTCCAACTTAGAAAAGCAGCAATGAAAGCAAAAGGCTACTGTTTTGAAGGGCTGATGCTTCTGTTCTAATTCAAAAACTTTGCGTAAGAGGGATTAAAGTGAGAGAACAATTACGGATCGGACATGTGAGGGCTCTTTCTCAAAGACGCAAACACTAAATCACTAAATTCCAAGGCTGTAACAGAGCTGTTGTAAAACCCAAAATCAACCCTCACCATCACGTTCTAGCAACTTACGGTCTGAACGTGTCTTTAAAGCTGCTTTAATTAATGTTTGTCCACTAGAAAACACTTCAAAACAAGCTGTCAGATTGGATGGAAAGTGTCTGTGAATCTTCAGGTCTCTCCACAGATTTTCTATTGGGTTTAAAGTCTGGGCTTTAGCTATAGGCCATTTAAGGACAGTCAGAGACTTGTCCTGAGGATACTCCAGCATTGTCTTGGCTGCCTGTGTGCTTCAGGTCATTGTCCTGCTGAAAAGGTGAAGTGTCACCCCAGTCTCAGGTCATGTGTACTTTGGAGCAAGGACCTCTTTGTATTTGGCTGCATTCATCCATCCATAAATCTCTCTGCCCCTGCTGCTGAGAAGCACCTCCATAGCATGATGCAGCCAGCACCATGCTTCACCATAGAGATGGTATTAGCCAGATGATGAGAAATGGCTGGTGTTCGCCAGACACGTCTGGAGTTCTGCTCAAAGAGTTCAAATCAAGCTACAATGAAAATTTTGTTTCTCAACCCAACCTTTGGGAAATCCTATGACATACCGGAGCTCGACGTGGCCTTTCTCATCTGACAGCAGCCCATCTAGTCAGACAGTGACACTCGGCCCCCTGGTGTATTTTTGTCCTGCTGCCTCTCCCTCTGCGCTGATGCAGTGACACCCCCTTATAAGTCAACCACTCATTCCAGGAAGTGACAGCTTGTGCAACTGCTTGTTTTTTTTGGCCCCACGGGAATCATGGTAGATAGATAAGAAAGAAACGCCAACATGAAATGCTCGAGATTAACATCTCCAGGGTTGGCTGCATACAGTAGGAAGTCTATCAAGGCCACGAAAATGAAAAGCAAGATGATGAGAGACAAACAGTGGCGTCACTCAAACATCAACTTGAGGACATAGTTGAGGAACACACAGAGAGTAATTACTGTAATCTGGCTGGGCTATTCAGCGGCTTCAGAAGATACTCAGACCCCTTAACTTTTTTGATCATTTTATTGTGTTTTTAATATTTAATTATTTATATTTAATTCTGGATGGATCAATCTACATCCAATAATCCATAATGACAAAATGAAAAAAAGTTTTTAGCAATTTTGCAAAGTTTATTAAAAATCAGAAACCTATTCATGGAGTCCTGGAGCTCCTTTTGTAACCTAACAAGTGCTGAGGTTACAAAAGGGGCTAAGGATCCCATTGATGATACTGATCTGACAAAACCACGGGAAATTAGTCATACCATTTAATTGCATCTCCCATTATCAGTTTTCTGATGTTTTGCAGTTTCTGGATAAATTCTATGCAAAAAACTCTCTATACTTAAATTGTGCGGCGCTAAGTGCTGGGGAGAGTTTAAACGTGCATACGGTTTAGTCAGTAGTAATGGTGTAGAACCAGCAGAAACCAGGTAACAAGCCCCTTTCTGCAATTAGCACTGTTTAAAACCATCATTTAGCAAGGATTTGTCATGGACCTCTGACCATTTAGTCCTTTATGCTGACCAAGCTGCTTCTCACATTCAGCAACTGTAAGCTACTTGCAACAATTGCTCTTCTTAATGCCTATTTACCTCAAATCCATAATCCATGTATATGAACTGAGCCATAAAAAACACATTCACTGAGGTTAACAGTGGATCCGTAGTTCTCTGACCAGCATCAACAAACAGCATAATAATTCTGTCTCCGCACTGCTGGCAGGAAGATGTAAAAAAGGAAGGGACACTCATTAAGTTTGGATCCAAGGCCAGTCCTAATGAAGACTAATCCATTAAATTACACAAGTGCAAATTGAGTAGAAGTTTAAACTACTACTGAAACATTAATCCACAACAACTGGGGGTACCAACATGAGACAAGCCTTCTCCGCCTGACTGGATTTCAGGTCTAAGAGGACATGACGCCACCTGCTACACACAAGGAATCCACTAGAAGATGAGATGAGACACACACTTATATCACTTCACATGAAACTACAAGTTCAAATGCACCACACAGAAACTCCTGAGGGAAATACATTTTGTGTGATGCTGAGGTCAGTGGGCAAATTTGCCTGCTGCGTGCTAAACTGTGAGGCTTGCCTCCTCTTTGATGCCACATTTTTTTAATGCATTTGCAACATGTTTGATGGGGATAGTATAGGCTACTTAGGAAAATAGTGTCCATTGTGGGATAAAATCATTAGCAACATCTCTCCTTTTACACAGAGTTATATATAGTAAACGTAAAATCTAATTTATCTATCCTTTTTTATCTGTGGATTACAGTAGGAATATTATCTGAAAGTTAAGTATTTATGGCTCAATTTCATAGTACATGTTGTAACTATTGATTTAACCGATGGCAGCCGGTTAATGCTTGTCAATAGTGTTAACAATATGGGTTCATATTTGTTGTTTGCCTTATCGTCATTATAGACTAAAGTGTTTTATGTAAACCACTTGACGACTGGACATTTTTTCAGGGAGGGCAGCCCGCATCACCTGTTGCACCTCTACAATCTAAGAAGTTACGGGCCAAGGATAAATTCAACAGCAGTACAGTCCGGTAACAGTTACGTTCAAACAAACATACAGACATACAGACGAACAAAAAATCATTTCCGTGGCAGTGTGAGCTGAATGTCATATATGAAGCATTTCAAAATAACATTCCCGATAAGCGCCCAGTCGTATACTCACGCTCACAGAGGAAAGGTCCATTAAAATAAACGGCCGATGAAATGACAACGGTCCCGCTGGAGTCCTCCGCCGTTTTATCCGCAATATTTCCGCAGTGGAAGTCACAAACTATCCTCACAGGGTCAGTTAACACATTTAATTTCAGCGCTGCGGTTCTCCTTCAGTGACCTGATCCTCACATGATAGCCGCCGTGTGTCTGTCGACCCTAATGTTGTAGATTAGCGTCAAGTCAGACCAACCGACGACGCTTCAACTTCCGGTTACTATGTTTCAAGAATAAAACTCTCATTAACGGCAAGCTACGTGGTAATGAAGATTGAAAAAATAAAAGTATTTTAAATTGGAGTCGCAGTCTATGACATATGTCTTATACTCTATTTTACCAAATATTCGTTAATAATTAAAGTGAATTCTATCTTCTATGTTTCTATTTGAAAGGTTGAAACATTTTTAGCTAACATTGAGTTAGCTTTAGGTATACTGTAGGCTACAGTATCTAGAGTTATTCATTGCTAACAAATACATAATTATTTAGCTTTTCAGAAAGAACATTAGAACAGGGACATGACTTTACAGGTGAATTAACACTGGAGGGTTTTGGTTGATTTAAAAGATAAGGGTAGATATCACACCATAGCTTATTATCTTGCTCCAACAATGGAGTTTAAACTAAGCTAGCTAACTGGCTAAACACCTAATCGACTTTCTCTCCTCCGTTTCTTGTTAATAATAACTCAATTTCTCATACAACTAGTTGTTATACGATATAATAAGGTTGTTTAATTTGTCATGGTGGTTATTGTTGAAGCTTACAATGGTGGTCCGTGCAGTTCCTCACGTTGTATAATGGAAAATTCCAGCTGAGGGGGTATTGCCTAATTTCATTGTCCTACTTGTGCTAATTGCAAATGTATGATGAAGTTTGTGAGCTCGTTCTTCATTAGCCGATGCTGCCTAAACACTGTTAACTCTTTGAATGTGTTATTGTACCACCGAATTAAGACGTACAATTCAATTCAGCACGCGTCAGTTTGTTCCATTATCCAACTTGTACAATGAAAATTGAAGAAGGAAGTTGAGAGCCGGAAACAGAGACAGCTCGTCTTCAAAGTAAAGGTTGCGCGTTTTGAACAAACTTGCTGGCTGCAGCAGTTAATTTAAGGAAAGCTAAGCTAAATAAATTAACAAACTGTCAAAAAAAATGAACATAATTCATAACTTTTATAGTTTTTTTTTTTTGCTAGCTACCCACAACTATTGGGAATACATTTCCAATGACCACTGGAATTATTATAGGGTCTTACGATTCATGTAGGTATTCATCAACTTATTAATTTGCTTACGGTTACTTAATCTATTACTTTGGGCATTATTTTTTCACTTAAATAATAATACATAGCCTACTGTTGGAAGTGGGGTCACATGACTGCTGGGCTGAAGAGCAGAAGGAGAACAGGTGTGCTAACTGGGCAGCTCACACAGGTGCCCTGGATATTGTTTGTTCTGTGTCCTGAGCTCATTGTGTTTGCCCTTCAGCTGAGCTGCTTCCCTCAATCATTTCACCTTTGTTCCTGAGTGCCTTAAGTGAGTTTATTTCATTATATTTTCTCAAGTCACGTTGTTAAGTAGTAAATCTAATCTCCTTGGTTTGCTCTTATGTGATTATATATTCAAAGTGAGAATGTATTGATGTACTGATTTTTGATTTAGAATTGTTAATTTTTGTTGTTTATAATATAATATTATTTGACCTGTATGTGCACTTTCTTTTATTTGTAGAAATATAACCTTTCAGCTGTAACTACTCACACCTGACTGATTGAAAGCAAAAGATTAAATACTTTGAAATGGAACAATCTGACTGCTTCTCCTGCTTTGCTCATCTCATCAAGTCGAGTGTAATCATAGAAACACGTGTAGAAAATGTAATTTTCAAGTTTACATGATCATTTGAATAAGACCATAAATAGGCTTCTATAATGATTTTAATATTTATAATTTTTCTGCACCACATGCTTTGAGAATGGAACACTAAATCATAATCATGGATTGTGTATTTAAAGGAGAACCCAACCCATTTTAAGAATTCAAATTTCTTATTCCTGTGCCCCAGAACAGATTGGTGAATATTTGTGAACATGCAGCACTCTCCTCTAAAGTTAGAAACCAAAGGGAGAACCTTAAAATATGTGATGTCATCCCAGTTTGCTCTATGACAATGAATGGGGCTCTGATGCCGTGAGGCTAATAAATGTTTGTGTAATTTCTTACGCCAAAATTAGTGTTTGATCCAATTTAAAATGTGGATAAGCTCTGTCAGGAGGAACACTACACAGCCACTGCAGATTATGGGGTTAGTGAGGAAATTCATTTTAGCTACATAACTTCAGTAGCCTGACTGATGAAAACTAGCCTTTGTCTTTTTTTTTATAATCTGACATTGGCAAGTCTAAACTTCCAGAGTATGTTTTTCTACTGTATTAGTTCATCATTTGCACTCATTAGCTCTTAATGTGGGGGGTTCAATTAAAAAGCGCATTCAACATTTTCATTTGTCACTATGTCATTTAATCAATATTTGAATGGAATACACTGACACAGAACAGAGTCAGTGCCCTTTGTGTTGTCCATGGAGGATTCGGGGATTCTCTGATTTCTAGCTTTAAGACACATAATATAGACCTAACTGTCCTTGGGCACGGGAATAACATGCCACATTTAAGTCTTTTATTTAGTTATTTCAAATGAATGAACTGTATGTTTATGAATGTTGTGATTATTATTTATTAGTATCTTGAACTTCATGCACAGCTGCTGTTGGACTTTACCTTCAATTCCCGCTGCAGTTCATGGCTTTTAGCTGCAGCTCATGAACTTTGAACCTTCCTTTATGGAGTTTGTGTCACTTGTAGGTGGACTTCATGTTTGCTGGTTCACTCTTTCCTTTCCTGTGTCCATGAGACAAAGCGGGAAAACTCGTCACAACACCGGATTTCTCGGCCGAGTCATACGAATAACAGCATTAGAAAAGTAAACTGTGAAACCATCGATGTGGGGGAAATGGATGTAGGCCTATTATAAGACATTAAATTGAAATTAAACATCCATGGTGGGGAACAAACACCTGTAACAGACGGTGGAGCTCTGCACTGTTTATACACCGGACTCTTGCGGTGATTGAGTGTTGGCGCCATTTTGGATTTAAATGCGGAGGACAAAAATCATGATGGCGTCAGTGAACCAGCCTTGGCTCTGTGTACAGTCTGCGGTCAGTAAGTAAAAAATACTCGGATCTCCTCCTCTTCATCACGTCGGTCTCCAGGAACCTTCGTCCTCTTACAGTCTGTTTGGAGAAGAAATCAACTACCCGGTACCAGAGGTAAGTCCGACAGAGTAGGAGTTTTAGAGTTTACTCTATTAGCGATCCTGTTTGATTGGAAAGATGGCTGACTGGTAAAAGCTTGGGTAAAAACAATGAAGTGAACAGAACTGAAACATTGATTGTTTGGGAAGAGCGTTACTCGGCACAAATTTGAGATTTTGTAGGCGGATGTGTTTATGAATGCATTTGTCAACATGTACAACTCTTGTGGACACCACCCATAAGTAGAGGGTGCTGTATAAAAAGATAGCCACCTCTGCCCGGCAGCTAGCATTAGCAGTAGCAGCTACTTAGCCGGCATTGCACATTGATGACTGAATTAAACGGTTTCATTATAAGACAAAAAGGGACTAAATACTTTCTAAATGCACTGAATCTCTAACTGATTGATCTGCCAAACAGACATCTCTTAGTATTCTTTCCTAACAGGTGCTTCTCACCAGGCAGTTTCTCTAGGATGAGGTGTTTACTTGCCTGAAGAATGCAAGTAAAGTTTAACGGAGTTCATTATGTTCTTACAGCTGCTTTTACACCACAGCTGTGTGTGTATTAAATTCACTCACTCATTTGAAACCTTTCTCTACCCTCCCAGATACCAGGAGAGGCAGCCCAGGTGACGGTTTCCAGGCAGCGAAGGGGAAGAACACCTCCTGTCCTGGGAAGGAGAGTCTCCAGAGGTGAGATTCACCTCAAATATCAGTTTCCTCTATTGACTGTCAGATCTATATTAACACAGTGCTCTCTATGATTATCTTTCAGCTGTTTTCTTGGCCTGAACTCGGGCCCTGCAAACTGGCCCAGTGCCAGCCGCCTGGTGGAGGCCATTTGCAGCCAGCTCTGCCGTCTTCATCCAGTGGACACGTGGTCCAGAGCGACCATGAGGACTCGGTGGTCCCTCATCCTCAAGGACTATGTGGCCATTAGAGAGGCCAGCCCAAGGTTGATGGCTCAGACCAACATCCAGCTCTTTGAATTGAATCGAATTGAGAACTCAGTGGTAAGAGTTTGTCATAAAGCGGTGTTGGTGTGTTGTAATCTGTACTGTGATTTATCTTTTAATAAAAGCTGAAAATCATCTGAAACAGTCAGTGTTTGTCTGTGTGTCCCAGGTGCTGCCCAGACTCTTCCTTCAGCAAAGGGTCTGTCCTTGGTACAGGTGGGACAATGAAATAAGGCAATACCCCCTCAGCTGGAATTTTTCAGAATTATACTTCATCCCTGGACCAATGGTTTTAGTGTACATAGTACATAGTGACTTTTTTGGTGCATTGTTACCTATAAAGTATTTACTAATTAGCCTACCATTTAGTCATTAATGTATGATTTTGAAGACCTTGTGTAAAGTTTTCCCAAATTTTTTTATTTATATTTTTATTTTTTTTTTTACCTTAAACAACAGCAATAACTATAATATAACCAGTACATTAGGCCCATGTAAGTTTAGTTTTTAAGGCCTGCTTTTATTTTGAAATTTAATTTGCCCCATGTCTGGTACTGCTGAGTGTCTCTCTGGCTGAATGACACGGCTGATGCAGAATTTGAAAAACCTCCACAGCGCACCTAACATTTCCAAAAACCTCCTCATGATATCAACCATAGAGAGCTCTGTGCTTTTATCATTGCACATTTTATCCATCTGCATCTCTTGGCAGAAGTTTAGAGATGTTGGTGTGCGAGTCTTTAGACCATCGTGCACCTGCAGGGTCACAGTAAGTGCTATAACATTTCAGAGGATGCTCTTCCTTGTCTGACCTCCTAACTTTAATTATTTGTTACATTACTATAATTTTAATCATATTTTTGATTAAATAAAAATTTGATTTGTTCAATTTTCTAAGCGTGTGCTGACATGGAAAATGAAATTATATCTCTGCTCTGTGTCATTCATGCACTTTAAAGTCCCCACAACCCACACTCAACCCCCACCCCCCAACACACACACACACACACACACACTTCTTGCCATGTTATTGCTTTGCGACAGCTGTCTTCTGAAGTCAGAGGGTTTTAAAGATGGCAGAAAACGGCCCTCATGTCAAACATTCATAACAAACGTGGCCATTGCACTTTTGGAAAGACGGTCTCAAATAAATGAAACCAGAAATAACTGTCTGGCTAGACAACACACGCTAAGTGAGGAAATATGGGTTTTGTAATTTGAGTTAACAAACCCTTTAACATGAGCCTTTATAAATGGCTCACTAATACTAAATACAATATATTTTCTATGTTGCACTTAGAAATGCAAAATTCTGGTACAAATGTAGCTTACTGCTGTACCTCTGAATGTTCAAAATGGGTCCACTCAGATAATGAGGAACATCCAGGTTACACACACACACACACACACACACGTATTGGCCTAAATGTATATATGCACATGCACGTCTCTTAAGTTTTAACACTGCTTGTTATGATTACTTTCAACTTCCCAGCTCTGTGCCTGAGATGTTTTGTGTTGCTTTGCCCCCAGGTGGTGGAGAACTGGTATGACATCCTGAAGGAGTTGCAGCGTCCACTTTATCCAAAAGAGGACATTTTTGTTAAGTGACAGCGAGGTCTGAGTTAAGTTAAATTACGTTATTATTTACTAGTTATTTATTTATATCATACTGAATTTATTTCTTTGGATGTCAATAAAACTACAGAGTGTATGTCTGTCTCATGTTGACATGTGGTTGAGGTCCTATTGAAGGCTGGGCAAAGTGTGCAGCTCCCTGGGGGCACAGAAGCCCCGGCTTCACTGCGGCAGTTGGTCTCTACTAATATGATTAGTTGTAATTTTGTTTTGGGATACGGGAATATAAAAAGGACCTTAAGGTGGGTCCTGCTGCTTTGTTACCTAATTAAACTTTATAAGTAGGACAAGCACAGTACCAAAGACCCTGAAGCTGAAGCAGCTAAATGGAATTCAGCCTTTCTTAATTTTGTTATTTACACCTGTGCTTTTACTGTGACATGTCAAAATGTCTCGAAAGGTGTCTCTCAAGGCCCTGTGTTGTACTGTTTCCCTGTATCAAAATCTACCTTTACGACCATCATTAGTCCAGCTGATATTGTTAGCCCCTAGCGAATATTCCTAGAATAATTAGCATTTTATCACATTACCAATCAGCAAACCTGGAGCTATGTATTTTAATATTCCAGTATAGGATTACTGTTTAATCAAATGACCATGATCATGGGGCATGATGGGAGTATTCTGTATCATAGTGACTGTTTCTGCATCTTGTGTAAAAACCTAAGACAATGGACTTGTTTTGGTCTTCTGCTGTGAAAGAATGGTGTTTCTGATTCCAGCTATTGAGAAAACTTCTGTAATCAAATAAATCAAATAAAGTTTGTATGTGTCTGACTGTATTGTTGAAATCAATAATATCCTCAGGCTCATCTGCAGGTTACTGGGCCACCTGCTGACCCCAGACCAGCCTCTGACTGGAACCCAGCCCATAGAACCTCCGTCTATGACGCCTTCCATTATGCTGTCATCAGAACTTCTGCAGCACCTCGCGTCTTCACTACAACCTAACACGGATGAAACTCTGTGAGAGACATTCAGAGGCGTCTCTGTTCCATCAGACGACGAAAGCATTTACATCTTTCACAACAGCTTTCAAGTTTCAAAGGAGATGAACGCGCGACCTGAAAAACCACCACCTGCGAGGCTTTTACCAAGAAGACAAAACATTCCCAGACCAACATTACAACACAAGGTTGGTTTGATTTATGGCTGTTATTATCCAATGGCTACCATCCACTGTCTTAATAAGGGGTTACCTGATCACCTGTTGCTTAGACTTTACATATTGATTATCTTTATCCATGAGAACCAGTGGTGGAATATATGTCAACTTTATGTGACCTTATACTTTCACAGTTATTAATTTGTTTTGGTTTAGGAGTGACTTTACTTTTAATGTTTTCTGACATAAGTCACTTCCAATGATTGTGCTTCACTTGTTAATGTGATAAAGCTCGTCAGTTTGTGAGGATTCAGATTTTTGGTTAGGGTAACCGTTTAGGGTAAGAGTTTAGGTTAGGGTTAGCAGCATCTCTGTGCCACCTTATTTCATAATGAATCCCAGTCAAACAAGTACAAATTTCTAAACATGATAGCCTGAAGTTTGTTAATTGAACAGTTACAAACATCCCCTCCATTTTTGCTCATAGAATAATTTCACCATGAAAAGCAACAAGACTGCGCTGAAGCCAAAGTCAACTCAACTGACGGTCCTGCCATCAGTCGACAAGGGTCCTCAGAAAACCCCAAAAGTTGTCTTGCCACCTTTCTCCAAGGACCGGAAGAACACCCAGTCGGGGCTCAGCCTCCATCAGCATCCTTCGCTGCCACCGATCTGCACGTCCCAGCAGAAAACTTCCCATCAAGAGGCTTCTCAGGTCTGTTACAATAATGTTTGTTTACACATTTATTTATCATTTTATTTTGGAGGAATGTTTTTCATTATGTTTATTTGATACTGTAACCAGCAACAAGCGGGTACACAGAGTGGCAAAACCTGCCCTGAGGAAACCTCTGGTTTCAAGGAGGATCAGAGAGTCAACAAGACACCTTCTGTCGAAACACCTGCCATGTCGCCTGAAGGTAAAAGCTTTTTGGATTGTTTTGTTTTTTTTAATCCTCAGTTTAGAGTTTTTTTTTTTCCGTTTTCTTTGTGAGAACAAGAGAAAAAAAGTATCTGAGAGATCTGTTCACCTCATGCACAGCTGTCCTGAGAGAGTCCAAGCCATATCTGACCGAGTATGAGCTGGAGGAAATCCAGGACTACGAACAGGTGTGGTACCTGGGGAAGGAGGCCAGCAAGACTCGTTACTCAAACGTCACCGAAACCCAGGATATGGAGTACTTCAACTCTGGCTATGACACTGAGGAAGGATTTTACAAAGCTGTAAGTGCTTCCTGTACAGAAACAAACAATTTGATCCATTGTTTGTATAAAGATATTGATTAGAGCAGCTTTAATTTCATGGTAAAATAATTGTTGACAATGACATTTCCCCATCTTACCACTTCTGTAAGAACAGATTATCAGTGACCACTTGGCCTATCGCTTTGAAATACTGGCGGTGATTGGGACAGGCTACTCTGGACAGGTCCTCAAATGCATAGACCACAAGACCATGGAGCTGGTGGCCATCAAGGTCATTCGAAGCAAAGACAGGTAAAACTTTACCAAACCAACACATGGCACACACAAAACATAGAAAACAGGCAAAGGTTAGAGACTTTAATTAAAGGTAACCTATGGATTTTTCTTCTAAACAAACCCAGTTATGTTTACACTGAAAAGCATTGTGTGTACCGTGTTTTCTAAGCTCTAAAGCACATCTCATGTACTCTATGTGGTTGGAAGCTCAGTATAAGCTCACAATCCAAATGTGTTGAATAGATTTTCTGTCTCATAAAATATATTTATTGCATCTTTAAATTTCACATTAACATCAGCTAGCATAGTCGTCTTTTTCCGACCCTTCTGCTGTTAAAAACTGCCTCATTTCAGGGCGTGTTACCACAGGCATTTGTTAACTCTTAGCAGGAAAATAGAAATGTTTATTGCGCCACTCAAGTGTGTGCATGTGTGCCTCCTCGTTCCCGTGCCAGCAGAGTATGAGACACAAACAAAATAGAGACCTGATCATTAAAACATTGCTTCATAGCATCACTCTTGGTGTGAAACTCTTATCAGGTGTCTTGGGTGCCTTAAATTTAGATGTCAGTTTTACATGCAGTCACATGGTTGAACACAGAGTTCATATTATTCTCTGTGGTCTGATGGTTTTTCAGTGTTCATCAGGTGGGAAAGGCTGAAGTGAGGAATTTAGAAGCCCTGCGAGAGCTGGACAAGACCAACACGGCCAACATTGTCCACATGAAGGAAAACTTCTACTTCCGCAATCACCTGTGCATCACTTTTGAACTCTTTGAGTAAGTGTCTTTGTTCTTTGAGCGGGGGGAACACACTTCAGATATTCATTAGGACAACTTCTGGATTACAGTGCAGGTTGTTTGAGATTAAAAGTTAAAGTCAGCCTCTCGCATTGATTTTCAGAAAGGACCTATACAAAGCCTTAAGAGATTCCAACCGGCGTGGACTCAGTGAGAAAGAGGTGAGAAGATACACCACAGACGTGCTGAAGTGTCTACAGCTGCTCAAAAAGAGGAGGATGATCCACGGTGACCTTAAACCGGTAGGAACCACAGCTTCAGAAAAAAATCGCACATACTGTAGTTACTGTGTAGGATTATTAAACCACACTTAAACCGACTCGAGAATCAAGTTTTCCTTCCGACTACAATAATGTCCAATAATGTCCATTCTGATAACTTTGGTGACTTTCAGCAGAAGGGTCATAGAAAGTACAAACAAGACAGAAACAAGTTTAATTCACTGTACATTAGTTTGAGGAATATGTGTCTCATGTGGTCTATATGTTGATTTCAGCACATTCACTCTGTGTCTAATGTATCAGAACAAAGCATCCCCTAAAAAGCACACACTAAACTTTCCAATTCTACAAGTAACGGCTTTTAAAATGTAGCATCTGTATCACAGAACTGTGTAGCTTTACACTGCGTAGCACAGGCACACAGAAAGAGACAGATAATGACTCCAGAGACACGAATCAACTGCAAAGAGATGCTAAATAACAACAAAAACAAGATCAGCAAACGACAAAGAAAAGCAAAATAACCACGGAAATACATAAAACAAAAACAAAGGGCAGCTACATGACTACAAAATGATGCTAAATAATCACAAGGAGACACAAAACAACTACAGAGATACTGAAATGAACGACAAAGACACACAAAACAATGACCTAAAAGATACACAAAAAGAGTACGGAGAGACACAAACTACAGAGGGGCAGCTTTTATACATGTCTGTGTCCAGCAGCCCGCTGTCTCTTAATCTGCCCATGATGACTATAGGTAAAGTAATGTTACCTGTTTTTCAGGATAACATACTTCTCTACAAAAGGGGCAGTGAGAAGCGTACGGCAGTCTGCGACTTTGGAGGGAGCTACTTCGTGAAACACAGACGTGAGTGTAAATTTTTCTCATCACAAAGTGAGAAATGTTTCTTGTTGAGTTAAATATTTTATTGAACAAAACAGTTGACGCTGTAAAAACGCTTATCTTTCCTACGCCTCCCTCCACAGACCAACCCCTCATCCACACTCTGTACTACATGTCTCCAGAGATGCTCCTTGGCAAAAGGTGCAGCCCGGCTATTGACATGTGGAGCCTGGGCTGCGTGTTAGCTGAGCTCCACCTTGGTCGCTGTCTATTTCGTGGATGTAACTATAAAGACCAGTTCAGCTGTATAATGAAGGTGATATTTATCATTAACTAATGCTATCTTCATTCCATTCAGACTGCTGTCATATTTTTATTTTTTTTTTAACTGAGATGAATTCTTGTAGGTGCTGGGTATCCCTCCTCCAGAGGTGCTGGTGCAAGCACCCAAAAAAAGCGACTTCTTTGGTGAGCAAAAAAGATTTCCGACTTTGACCTTTTCTTAGCCGCTTTTACATGTAACAAAGTCCTCAACCTTGCAGGGCGTTGTGAAATTGTTGTTGATTTGTCATGGTTGTGCAGATTCTGATGGCATCCCATTGAAAATAAAAGATATAAGACGCCACAGCAGCACTCTGACCAAACACCTGAATTCTAAGAGTGCCTATTTTGTGGATTTCATTGAGTGCTGCCTTGAGTAAGTGCACTCTCTGAGAAACTCATCGGGATGACACTGCATGAATAGGCCTTTTAAGTATAACATTTGTAAATATAGCTCTCTATGAGTATAATTCTGCAGAATTTGTTCTTTTAAATATCTTGTTTTTGCATTATGTGCATGTATGTTATTATTTAGTTATGATCCGACAAAGCGCATGACACCAGAGAAGGCCTTCCAGCATCCATGGATTCTTATGAAAGAGATCAAACCTGTAACAAGTGCTGGAAAAACTAGATCAGGTAAGCCAGTGCCCTAAAAACCTTAGTGCTCTCATTTCTTTGGCACTCACTGCTGTCAACAGTGATGGATACGGAGCCCAAAGAGCTCAACAACTATAGGATAGATGGTGGAGTCTGGTGCAGATATTTATGGTCCCCAGATGATGAATTCTCATGACTCCGCTGTCTCCCTGTCATTTCAACTGGCGCCTCCAGCAGGTCAAAGCTTGACTTATACAATCCCAACAGCTACACTTCAGCTGTGTCCCAATTCAGTTGGCATATCCTTCTGAAAATTAAAATTCGCATCAGTCTTAGCTGTACGTTATTGGCTAATTAGCGAATGTTAGCATGCGCTAATGTTGACGTTAGCATTGCGGTGCCTAAGTGCAGCCTAGCAGAGCACTGGATTTGACTCCAATGTTTATTTACCTTCTTTCCCTGTCCACTTTTACTCAGGTGCTCCAGGTCCCAGCAGCAACAAAAAGCCGGCCCTGCTGAAAAGAGAAAAAATGCCTCCAGTGCAGTTGCCACCAGTAAAGAAGACCAAAGCCAAGAAGGGTGGAAATTAAAAGGCACATAAAGTTACCATATAAGTTATATAACAAAATATAGTGTGGGCAATGGTCAGTTGGTTTCCATCTTTTTCTCCCTTTGTGTCCCAACAGGTGTGAATGTGAGTGAACAGTGTGTTTCTATATCGACTGCTGACCTGTACCAGCTGGGATTGGCTCCCGCCCCCTACGAGCCTCAAGGGTGAGCAGTTTATAGGTGATCGGGGGAAAGATGCTTCAATTTCAGTTTGTTGTCCTCACTGTCACCCTGTCATGGCTCACTGGGGCACTCGAATAGAATAGTTAATATGACACCTGTGACATCTTGAGAAGGATGAGCCCGTGAACACAGCCATGCACATTAAAGGCCCTGTATTTTACACTTCTCCTGTGGTTTATTTGAAGTGTTGATCCATAAGAAGATATATTTGTGGTTTTAAGAACCAAAAAACATCTCAGTGTAGTTTTACATCTCCTCTTTATGGGTCATTGACTGTCGGCTGAAATGAGGAAGCATGACCTGCCACTGATGAGGTCAACGATGATTGTGAGGAAGAAATGTTAATATCAATTCATCGGGTTGTTTGATTTGTTCTGAGTGTTAGAGATGACAGACAGCGATCAGTTATAGATTTTAAAGGCTGTGAAACTTCTTCTTAGACTGGCTCTAGTGGGAGAGAGAGTCCTGGATTCAACGTGGGAAAATAATCTGTAGGTCTTCAGATGGAAATCCTCACAATTTCAAAACTACCATTTGAAAACACAACTCGTCTTGTTTTATTTCTTTTCTAAAGAAAAGTGCAATCAAAATAAAGATTATTATTATTATTATTATTATTATTGGGCATAATTTGCAATAGTCTGTGGTTGTGTTCATAAATGACATCACAATTTAGCCTAGTTTGATAAATCAGGCTATTGCTGCAAAGCCACAATGAATATGAGTAAATGTATTTGATAGATCAATGAAATGATATAATAATAATCCATGACATTAAACATATTTCTGCTATCAGTTTGTGATATTGGTTCCATGGCTACTTCACCTCGTCAATATAAGGTAAAAAGTATTTTTTTTTATCTATAAACTTTGGTCACTTGCAGTCAGTTTGGTTTGTGGGAAAAGCTTTAATCTCTTCCTATCAACTCCACTGTGCATGATGGTTGCACTTTTGTATTCGTGGTAAATTTCCATTTACAGTTCACATCTGGAAACCTCTGCCACCAGCTTTTGATCTTCTCAACATACAGTATCTTTCACGGTTCGCATTCATGTCTTTTTGAAAGCCTCCACGTAACCCTCCGTTTGATTCCGACGTTTGCTTCACGAAATGCAATTTGAACCTTTTCCACGCCATTAAACGTGATTTGTTTCAGTTTATAACCCGCAGCCCCTCCGAAATCCCTCCTCAGACTTTCCAAATAAAACGGATCCAGCTGTGCGCGGCTGTGCGCCCTCAGTGCGTCACACTGCTCTGCTACAGACAGACGGACAGACAGACAGACAGACAGCGGCGAGCAGGAGGAGGAAGAGAAGGAAAGATGTCCGGTATCATGCTGCTGTCGGTGTCTTGGAGTTTGTGCTTGTTGTGGGCGACCGGCGGGAGTGCGCGGAGCGGGGCAGTGATCCTGCGGGACGCCCTGGAGCGAGTCCCGGTCAGCCTGAACGACATGTTCCGAGAGGTGGAGGAGCTGATGGAGGATACCAAGCACATACTGGAGGAGGCAGTGGATCAGGTCTGCGTCACATTTTATTCATTTATACAAAGGCAGTGTTGTTTAGTTTACTTAGAGCGGAGAGAGTGACATAAAGCTCCAGTAATGTCATTCATCTGCCCGATTTTATTATTATTATTCACAGTTATTGCAAAAAAAAAAAAAATTCAATGTCATGTGAGTTTAATTGTTTTGGTGGTCAGCTTAATGTTAACTAGCAGGCTTAGGTATGTGCAACACAGTTTCCATCTGTGCTTTGTGTCGGACCCACATCATGGGTCTATTAATAGTCCACATCATAATAGATATTTGTCCTGTCAGTTCAATAAAAGAAAAGGTAATGCTCATAACCATAACCCCACACACTCCTGTGACTGAGAACTTTACACCACAAACTTTTTTTTTTTTTTTCATAAGATACAAACTGAGACTCCTGGAAGTTGTCTGTTATTTTCCCCTGGACCTGTGTTTCAGCAGGTCTAATAACCCTGCTGACGTCTCACACTCTGTCTGTCTCTGTCTGGTTTTGATCATTTGTGAACTACTGGGAAGTTTTCCCTTAATGTCATCCAAGAAATGGAGATTATTAATATCAATCATAAAAGGCTGTATATCGACAAACTGTCCAGATTTACAGCCGCCTGGAGGATTAATTCTTCGACTCCCATATGGAAATCTGATGTATGAACAAGATGGAAATGCCATGTGTTGTATTTTATGTAAGATTTATGAATGAAGTCCACATGTATCCTTACATTCAATCCAACAGATAACTACCGAGAGTGCTAAATCATCTTTAACGTCACCAGATCTGCTTCTCGCCTACCACAACGAAACCCAGCGGATTATTAAGAATGGAGACAGAGACATTCAGGTCCTAGATAGGACCAACAAGGTAGGGGTTCACTTTTCCTGTATGTATCTGTCAGATTAAACCTCGTCATCTTTTAGAGGTCGTCTTGATGGAGAAAACCAGCGTTGTTTACGAATGTATCATCTGTGTACATTTGTGAGTGGGTTTAGGATGTGATCTGAAGGATGCAAAAAATGCTTTTCTCTTGGAGGTCTGATACGATGCGTCACCCTCTTTTATTTCTATTTTACCATTTCTAGGAAACTAATAACAAAACAGGAGAGACTCATCTTTCACACATCCATATGGAGCTCAATGGGCTTTGGAACAGTGTTGATCACGTGAGTCTTTTCCCTTCCCTGTCTGCTCTTTGAATAATTACAGGACATTAGGACAAATGCATTCTGGATTTTAAGTTTCCTGGTGATTTAGTTTCACTCCATCCGGATGCTGACATGGTGAGAAACACACAGAGGCGTGTATTTAGTGTTGGGTCTGCTTGCAGAAACCTGTGTTTGGTTTGTGTTATGTGTACCAGTTTCAGCCCCTTCTAGTCTCTTTTAGTGGCAGTGATGGACAGTCCATATAACAGTATATAGGCAGCCTTTTGGAAACACAAATAAAGACTTTCACTCCTCATTATATTTTATGACATTCCAGTAAAAGTATCAGTCATACAGTGTGTTTAATTTAAAAAAAAATTCATCCAAATCACTTCTTTGAAATGTAATTTTTCTATATAAACATTTTCCCTCGGGTCTGTAAACGCCCCTGTTTGTAAGAAGGTGGAGTGCTTTCTGAAACTTGGTCTGCGCTGTCTCTACTTGTTTTATACAGAATGAGATCATCCAGCAAACAGAGCCACCATATACTTTTCATAGTTTCAGCTTTGGATTGAGGTCATTATTGCTGCCTGTTTTGCCATTTTCCCTTTGCAACGGTGGTTCTGATCTTTTGCTTTCCTGGCAGCTGGACAGAAAGTGGTTATGTTAATAGAAGTTCCTGCTGGAAAAAAAAAAATGCCAGGGAAAGAAAGTAAAGCCTGCAGCCCGGGCAGGGTAAGGTCTGCTCCTCTACAGTGACTAACTGTATAGAAATTTCAGCCTGTACACGGAGTCACACTTGAACTACACTGGAGGAAGTCATAGTAAAGTTGACTGACTCAGCACTTCAGAGAAAATTTAGCTTCTGCCTGTCACTGAAAGATGTTACAGCTGCATACTGATGTACAAAACACCATCACCAAATAGCAGAAATTTTATTTTGGTGATTCAAAGGTAAAAGGATGGATGGTCAAAAACCATGTAACTTTGTTTTAGAGTAGAAATGTTTTAGATTTACAGTTTTTCCTCATAATTATGACGTCTGTATCTTTGTATCTCATAGTTTACAGATTTTAATCTCATGAGGATAAGAAAATATCCTCGTGAGACGCATCTTGTATTTTTGAAATAGTCTTTGTTGTGAGACATGGATTAGGTAATTGATAAAAAATGAAATGTAATTTGCCATTTGAGAGGACAGACGCATGATGGCGTCACCTGATTGAATTTGCTGTAGTTTCCTCCGTCAGTTGAAGCTTTGAAAGATATTTAAGCCCATATCAGTGACTGATATTAGCTAATGTGGTGAACTGGTATCTGCCTGCAGCGCGCTGAGGTTATTTCCTCAACTGGGCCAGTTTGGTATCTTGGTGACTCACCGTGCACCCTAGGGGGGAGGAGAGACGTAGAGGAGGGTGCGGTGACGTGAATCCAGCTGTGCACTGCGTTCACTACATGCACTGCAGTGTCTTGGTGCCAAGAAGTAGTGAGTTTTTGCAGGTTAGCCGCCCGCCTGCTCAGAGCAGGTTAATTACATGGTGCGCATGGCATTTCGGTGACTTTATTCAGTGAAGTCACACCCACATAAACCTCCCTAAAATCACGTAAACCACCTTTATTCATGCTTTGTTTGCTCTTTCCACATTTATTTTATGGTTTTCAACCAGGTGACATTGTGATTGTGCAGAAAAAAAGGTTTCTAGGTTTGACTGACACTAGGCTACAGAATAATGAGTGATTCTTAGCAGCTCTGAAATCCACAGCAGTTAGTAGTTGGATTATACTGACGGCCTCCGCTTTACTGCGGTGAGTCTCTCTACAGCCGTCTGAAGGCAAATCAATAGGCGTGCTTGATGTTGACACACTGACATCCATCCCAAACATTGAGTAACAGGGCAATGAGTGTGGCTAAAGTGACACCTGGAGCTCTGCGGTTTTAATTACAATACAGTCCGTCAACATTATGTGGTAGAGATTGGGTTTTATAGTGGTGTTTCCAAAAAATAAAACAGTGTCATTCTTAAAATCCTAATGTGTTTGTGGATCATACCTGAATCATATTTATTTTGCAACATGAAGAGGAAGCAGGCAGTTATTTCTTTACCAGATTACCAGCTATCATTTCTCCAAACCAATCACGACTGAATTAAACATTAAAAAATTATTTCAGAATAAAGAAATCTCCGAGACAAGCTCTCAAACAAATGTCAGTGGGTCATGATCGGGAGAGTCCTGTGTTTAAAGGGGATGAATATGAATGTGATTGGCCATGAGTGTCACAACCTCTAACACGGCCACCTATAATTTATGATGACATACTGTAATCTTTCTTTCACACCAGTAGATGAAGTCGGGCCCGAATCACAGAGTAACATGGGCTTGATATCCTCAGCTGAACCGGCATATACAATGACCGTCAGTAGTCTACTGCCCTCATCTAATAGTACTGACTATTTCTCCTGCATTTACAGCTGCTGTGATTGGTTACAGCCCAAACTATAGACATCAAAACTTGCTAAAAGTGAGGAAATTTAGTTAAATGTAGGATAAGGGTAACTAGCCAAAATATCAGCCATTCCCTCAATCCTCCAAACAACAGTGCTCAGTGTCTTTATTTATGTGGTGGTTAATTCAGGGCTTAGCTTGGCCAGAAGTCACGCAGGCTTACATGTTTACATGGGGTCTGTTACTCTCTGTCAATGTTACTTTCTTTTCCCTTTTTCTGCAAAGTAATTTGTGGAAAAATATTTTTATAGAGAGGTATAACAGCTGTAGTCATCTGGCATTTATTAGTCTAATTGCAGGGTTGTGGGTACTTGTGTAGCGTGGCCCCTATTTGTAGTTTTCCAGTGTGTCTCTGTCACCTCAATAATAAGCTAAATAATGGAAGAACATCTCTATTTCTGCAGAGATGTACATATTGACAACAACAGAAAAGAAGCTGAATGTCTCAGGTAGAAGAGAAAGTGTTAACAAGGGGGAAAGGCATTTGTGAGGTGGGAGTGCGCGGAAAGGAAAATTTTATTGAGAGCCCGGAGCTGCTCATGAGAGAAAGAGACACCCAGCCCTCACCTGTCCTGACAAGGCATGTTCTTTGCATATTATTTGTGTGTCCATGAGTGTAGTCGGAGCCTATATGTGTCGTGTCCGGTCAGCATACGTACATTTTGAAGACAGATTCAGCAGAGAACTAATGATGCACTTGGTAGTAGAGGTGCAGCGTACATGCCCGAGTGCCTATCATTATGCGTAGCCCTGCTTAATGACAAACAGATTCTGCTGACAGGCTCCTGATCCTGTCTCTGACTTTGACACAGAGCAGCCTGCCTCAGTAATACGTGCTGTTTCAGGGACTTGGCTCTGATTCAGTGTTGATCTCCCAGAGGCAGCACACACACAAAGAAAAAACCCCCCCAAAAACATTTAAATGATGAGTCTACAGCAGGCCAGTGCTGTTTTTGGCTGACACTGTGACCACCGGAAAAGAGTCAAACTAAATCTCAAATATCTGATTAGTGTTCCAAAATTTGACAAAGCAAGACGGAGTCAGATTTATGCTGCAGGAAGAATCTGACCTGAAACCTTTAAATTCTTCTTTATGGTGTACTTTGCATGACATTACTTGTTTTGCAGCATGATGTATTTGGTGCTCCTGCAGATAATTCATGTTTATTAAGATCATGTTTATTTATTTAAGCTATAAAGGAGTTTGATGGCAGAAAACACTCAAGAGATGTAGATGATTTGGGTTGAGTCTTAAGCAGTGTGCCATACTGGGCGTTATACAGGGAGAGGTCACGTCATACAGGAAGTAAAGATATTAAATTCTTTACCCTTAGTCAGCATAAAAATGTCACACTTCACTTTTACAGCCTTTCTCATTTAACAAGAAACATTTCATCTACAATGTAGGAAAGAAATCAAGGGTAGAGGAAAGAGAGGAGAGGAGACTCGAGATTCAGTCTCTCTGTGTAATTCAGATGTCACTGATGTCGTACATCAGACGGTTTCCATGGAGACGGGCTGTGGCTGGCAAAAGCACAACTTCAGAAACCATCAGACAGTAGGAACTCATTAGGTGGTGGTTGCAGTGGAGTACAACAGTCCCTGTGATACAGTAAAATGCAAACCGTAATTAAATTTGGTTGAGTGCCTCTTGGTGTATTACACTGTCATCAGATGAGCTTCTGCTTTAGAACGATACATTCAAATCCAAAAGTGTAAAGATCTTTCATTAAGATTTAAATGAACACAAGTCCTGGTCTACAGTCTAGTTGGACCCACTTATGATTCAATGTGCTCTCTTTACTGACTGTGTGTGCAACTGTTGTAATCTCTCCTCTCAGGAATGCATGGTGGATGAGGACTGTGGTGACCTGAAATACTGCTTATATGAGATTGAGAACTCTAAGTGCCTCCCCTGCATACCAACAGATATGGTGAGGACTCAGCCAGTGTTGTATTTTGTGCTTGTTATTTCTTCAATTAAAGCTTCACTGATCAATGTTTTCACTTTAACAACGGATCAAACGACTGTGTGTAATATGAAACGTGTTGCTCGTGGTGACGAAGCCACCGAGGATTGTCCCTTGACTCAGCTCTACGGCTCGTTTTAGCGTCTTTTAGCTCGTTGGACACAAGTTCAGGTTTATCATCATTTCCACACATATAAATGATATAGGCTACAGGGAAATAATATATCTTTCCTTAGGGACCAAAGTGCAAAACAATAAATACGTGCAAAAAACAAAATAATTGTAGACTAAAGCTAAAAAACAGTAACAGTCTTTAAAGTCTTTGGATGACTGAAGTCGCCCGTGATCATGAAAATACCTGTAAGGTGTATCATAGAACAGCAGTGAACTCACTGACAGCATGGCCGGCACTTCACAATCGTAAACTTCACAAGCGGAAAAGTCTTTGGACTCAACCACAACATTTGTGCTCCATTCCACTGGGCAGTGATGATTCCCTGTCGGCTCAGTACCAAGTTAGGACTTTAAAGCCTAATGGCCGTGTCTGGAAAGTTGCTGTGTTGCCATATTTCAGTGAAAACAAAGATGCAGCAGTTCTTGAGTTCATGCTAGGCATGAAATCTCTCTCCAGAAGATTTTGGCTGCTATTGTCGAGTTTCGCCATCAACATAAAACGTGCTCTCTCTCTTTCTGCAGATTAAGATAAGTCAGACACCAAAAGTACTGAATTATTTGGTTTTTCGTTGAAAAGCTCTGATACAAACAAAGTTAGCATCCAGCTAGTGAAGATAACATTTAGATGCAGAACAAAAACATTAATCATTGGCATCTGTCACAAAGAGTATCTTTGCTTCTGGGTAGAAGGTTACTGAGAAGGATAAACATGTAGAAGTGATTTTCCATCGAGTCTGCCAATGAAAACTAATGATGAAACATAATCTATGTTCACCTCCAGAAACCAGGGACCAGCGCCCTCTCTCTGCTCTGTGCCATAAAGCAGTCTCAATATGTTCTGTAGAGCAACCCAACAGCAGATTTAGGACATAATCTGATTCACTGCTGTATAATGAAAAATGAAGTGTGCAGGCTGCTAATCTAACCAGCAAACAGTCATATAAACCTGCATTTTCACAAATAAGTGATAAAAACATAATAAAAGGTGTGGTAAGCCTGTATTGTAAAGCAGCATCAATAAAAATACTAAAATGGATCCATCCAACTATGAAGTTACAAAAACACATGAATGTAGTAATAGACAGTGCATGTTCTACTTGTTTGCATATCTGGATGTGTGTCCCCACTCAGCCCTGCACTAAGGATGAGGAGTGCTGCTCAGACCAGATGTGTGTGTGGGGCCAGTGTACAGTCAATGCCACCAGAGGAACAGAGGGAACTATCTGTCAGGGTCAGAGTGACTGCAGGCTGGACCTGTGCTGCGCCTTTCAACGAGGTGAGCTTTAACAGTGACGTCCCCAGAGACCGACCCAGAAATAACACAGACTCACTTAAGCTGTCTCAGTTAATGTCATGTTCCACCTAGAGCTCAAGTGTATGTTATTTGGAGCTAAGATAAAAATCAGTCTTGCTTTTTTCATCATCTATTTTCTCTGGTTTTGATGTGATACATACCGTACTACTGTGCTACATTATATTTTTCCCCTGCTCCAATTTTTTACTTAAATGCTTCCATATTTATATTCTTATTTGCTTAAAAATGGCATTGACATTGATATTTTCTTACTGACCTCTAGTGGTAACTAGTGATAATGCTGTCCCCACCACTTCTATCTCAGACTGCATATATGCTGCTCTATATTTGACCAAATGTACTGTATATGGAAAGAGGCTACATGTGTTGGGTTGTTGTTTCATTATAGGCATTAATGATCCCTTCAGGGAAATAGGATTATTGCGCAATAAAAATCTGATTAACAGTATTCGTTCCTTTCAAAAATGACTTTCAACTAAAAATATTTATTTTCAGAAACTTTCTCACACTATTATAAAAAGAGCTAAATCTCCTGTTTGCTTGCTTATTTTCTTGTGACTGCTACAGTAAAATAATAATAATAATAATAAAAGTAATAAATTATTGTATTTCACATTAATTCAAAATGTGCTAGTTTAGGGCCAAACTCAAGGAATTAAACATAGTCCAAGACTAACACAAAACCAAGAGGAGACATCCATGGAAAAATGCTCTGGTCTGGGACTAGTTTTAGGAGCTGGGAAACTGGAGCTGTATGTACCTACTATTGGTTTGTGTGTAACAACAAGTTGTGGGCAGTTCATATGTTCAATGATACAGCACAATGGCCATGATTATGACTGAGCTGGCAAAATAAAGATTACTTTTCCCTCTGATGCTTCCTCCAGAGCTATTGTTCCCAGTGTGTAATCCCAAACCAGGGAAGGGGGAGTCCTGTCTGAGCCACCCCAACCTGTTGATGGATATGCTGGCCTGGGACCAGGAGGGCCCCCGTGACCACTGCCCCTGTGCTGACTCCCTCCAATGCCAACCTCATGGGTGAGAGCAAACATACGTGCAGTTAAAATGAGGAGTGTAGTAGTTGAGGTTGTTTAGATTAAAACAAATCTTGTAAACTGTATGTTTTCTTAAATTCCCTTTTTTTTTTCCCCCCTCTCTCACAGACGTGGATCTGTTTGTGGGGAGTAGTGCTGGAAAATGAAAAGCATGAGGAGGTTATATTCAACTACATAACCCTGTCCAGAAGCTATACGGACATCCTTACTGATCATTCACCAAAGAACAGTCCACCTACTGATCAACAGTTTCTTAAAGTATAGGATATTGCTTCAGGGCAGGACTTGCACTGTGTTATTTATGCCTTACTACCAATCTGTATTATATATCATGAAGGAAATAATAAAGACTTGTTTTTGGTTTTGACTGAGAACCAAGAAAAGTGGTACTTTGGTATTCACTAGTTCAGTTCGGATACAGATGAGCTTATTTATTTCACTGCAGAGTGGATGATAAGAGCTGCGGCAAAACACAGCACTGACCACTAGAGGGCAAACTTCTGCCTGTTTCGTGTGTGAGGAAAGTAAACCAAGAAATCACACACACACACACACACACACACACACACACACGCTTTTACACATGAAAATTCATGAAGAAAATATTCAGGATCAGGCTGATACCCACATGACCATTGTGCAGACTGATACAAATCTCTGGCTCTCTCTCTCATACACTCACACACAACAGTGGGAAACAAAAAGGTCTTTGACTTGCATATTAAGAGAGGTTTTGGATTCATCTTCAGTGTTTTTCCAGACTAAATATCTGCTGGCTTCTGTTCACGCTTTAATGCAAAATTATAGAAAAATTAAATAAAATTACATGCTTCTATTCTTCTAAATTTTTTTCCGTCATAGTTTTTGCAGTCCTGTTGTCTTTACTAATCTTGTGTCTTTTCAGAAATATCCTATTTTGTTTATGCATATTTGAAAGCCTGTGCTTATCATGCAAAATATCTTGAACAAAATTTTTCCAGTGTGGACAACCAAAGATCCTGCACCTCTGTCAAGACTGCTCACACCCTCATTTAGCATCTGGAAACCTGATGCCACGTCCACATGTGCACAGGTATTTTTGAAAATATAGCTCTTTCCATGCATTTTGGCCTTTTGTCCACACACGGATCTTTTGCAAAACTCTGGCCCCGGGAGAAGACTTTTAGAAACTCAGCTTTTAGTGTTGTCTGTAGCTGTTTTTCAAACTTCTGATTGGTTGGGGTTATAACACTGCCTTTTGGTTTGATATGCTCTTGACAGTGGAAACTCAGGAAGCAACAGGGTACATACACATTTCAGAAAGGGAGTGAAAAGGTCAGCAGGGGCCCAACAGCAAATTTACACCCTTGAGCTCTGTAAGAGGTTAATCCATCCATGATTGCAGTGCTATCAGAATGGACTGTCCATTGCTTAACAGTGGGTCAAATGCAGAGGATGAATTCTGCCTTAAGTGTTAATTAATCTGGTTGTAAAGTGAGGCTGTGTGGGTTTTGCTGACCACAGTGACCACAAATGATGCTTACAGGATGGTAAATACTAAAATGTAGTATTACTGTAGCATAAGTAGAGAGGTGAGTCAGGAAGTCAGCAAACTGGCTGAATAATGTAGTTGTAGGCTATCTAAAGTTTGCTAACGATAGCCAACGCTGTAGCCACCATAAGCTGCTGGTCATACCAGACCAACTGTAGCTGAAGCTGGAAAACCTAGTGCATTGAACTGAGCAAAAAGTGTATCAAGTACTTATCAAATTCTTAATTTGTAAGAGACGGGTTGTTTTCTTTCAAAAGTGACATAGTCTCCCTTTAGAGTGATTTTGTGCTTTATCCCCTTAAATTGGCATTCACAGTCCCTTTGACTTTCCTCTAGTGACCCACTGAACCACATTCAGTGGGGAGAGTTTCATGGCTACCTGGACAACTGGAAACCTTCAAGACACATGTGGGCCTCCAAAAGGTGCGTTTTACTTCACTTGAAGGTGTTCTTCTTAAGACGAGGTGAAACAGGTAGGAGTGAGACCTCTGTTTTCACTCGTTCTCTCCGGGAGACCGCGCTGGTCTGTTGACGTCACGGCGGTTCATTTATCCGCCCAGACTGCTGGCTTACCACTCTGTCGCTTGTAGCGGTACACGCCGGTGCTCAACCGCACATACACACGCACACACGCAGACACACCGGACGTTAAAGTTGAAGAGCCGGGGGGGAAAACATCGACGTTTCTGGTACGTACAGCCTTAAAATTACGTCCACGAACCGTTGGACTCGTTGAAGTACAGCGCTCGTTATCGTTTTTCAAGGCGCTAACTGCTGTTGTGACAGGCTAGTGAGCGTGTGACAGCGTGTAGGAAGAGATGCGCCAAAAGGAGGGAGGGGTGGCTGAACACTACTGTACTGTTGGCGGAAGATATATACGCAGATTCAGGCACCAAGTTAGACTTCGTGTGGCTTTGCCATGTCTTTCATCCGCACCACCACTGAGACGTTAATGCCACAGTCATTCACCACTGCACACCCCTCAGCCACCGCGGTGCTGCCGTGTTAAGCAATAATCCCAATTCTCAACGGTTGTCTTTTTTTTTTGTCTGTGTCTCTGTCTCAGCACTGGTAGCTTGTTAAAGAACTTAAATGAGGTAGGTTAACCGCTCTGGCTGCACTTTTAAAATGAAGGCGACGGTTGAGCCGAGCCGCCTCACTTTTAATTTACTTCCAAGTATCGCTGTAATCACATTAAAGGCAGCCAAACAGTAGACGGTGTAGTTTTAAGCGAAGCCAGCTGTGCAAATGGACGGTGACTGGTGACTAGTGATAGTCTAGTGATGTGATGCGGCTGTGTGTAATGAGAATCACGGGATCCGTTGCCTTCGTTTTCTTTTTGCCTGTTGGAGTGTGGATTCAGTCTATGTTGCCTGCTCTGGTACTACACACACAACTGCTTTGCTATCACATTATCACTGTTTAGATGCGTGATGTTTGGTATTGCAGTATTGCGCTGGTGATATGGAAATGTCGGCCTCATTAGGTTTGATATATATATATATATGTATATATATATATATGTTAATAGTGAACGAGATATCATTTATTTACCTTTTCCAAAGCTATTTTTCATGTATCATTAATTTAGAATAGACTTCTGTAGTTTAACTTGAGCTTAAATGCTTATTTGCGTAAATAACGTCTGAAAGATTTCCTGCAAAATTTTCTAGTTACGGCCAGTGGGGAAGCTTCAGTCAAGGCACTCATACATATTCATGAGGAAGGTTAGTAGAAACTTTCAATTTTCTTTTCCACTGGAGGAGTGTTGTGATGCAGATGTAGCCAGAACATCACAGCATCATCTGTATGAGGTACAGCATACAGCATTATAGCTTACTATACATGGCTGCTCATACTTGCTCCTCGCTCATGTTTTATTTATCGGAAATTATATTTGAAATTATTGATATTGAAACTGAAAGGGATAAACAGTGCATCATCATCATCACAAAGTTAACTGCAGCCATCAAGATGAGCCATAGCTCAGCTTAATGTTTTGGGTTGTGAGCTCAACAAACTGTTCGTCTGGGAACAGCATCAGCCTCAAATCGCTGTGCCTCAGACTTAACACCCCTATTAGACAAGAATGGAACAACCCGTTGGCTGAGACATGCCAAAATGTTAACATAAACTTTAATGTTGTCAAAACACAAAATCTCTAAGACGTTATTTGTGCAATTGGTGTCTCTACCTCACAGGTTAAATAAACATTAGTTGAGTCTGGAGTTGTGTCTGGGTAGTTACAGTCAGATGGTCTCACTTTCCAAAGTGACCAGCTCTCCTTACTGTATGTGGTCTTATGACATTCCTCATGTCTTGTCTAGCTAATGTGGGCCATTTGAATTTGACCTGCCATGTGCAAAGATGGTGCATTTTTGGCAACAACATGAACAGCAGTTGTTATTTCCTATTAAAATAAGCAGGTTATTGTGGACAGATGTGCCTTGATCTCAGTGTTTGCTGGAACGTGTCCACCAGCACGGCCTGCCACTGTTGCCTTTGAGTCATCACATGTCGTCTGTTGGGTAAATCTTCCTCAGATCTCTGTAGACAAAGGAAAACCCTAGTAGGAGAAATGTTGACTGGGTCTTGTATGTGTGTTTTTTTTTTAAAATTGAGATTATAAGTAAATGTCTTTGACAAAGTCTGAAAGCCTTTAAACTCTAAAGATTTTCCCCTTTGCTTGGAAGTGGGTTTTCACATTAGTCAGACATGGATTGCTCCCCTGAGACTGTTGTCAAACCTTAAAGTTTCATCTCACCGTAAACTGTTTAACATCAGCCAGATGAGCATTACAATGTGTTTGATCAATTATTCAGAGGGAATATGTGGCATCAGGGATCAACTTGCTGCCAGTATGTCTGACTGTAAGCTACAGTAGCTCTTTCACAAACACTTGATCAAAGGCCACAGCAGGTCCTGGCAGGGCTCTAGTCTAAAATTATAGAGCTTTCTTTTCGTTAACATGAGGACGGGACAAGAGTTTAGCGTTTCAGTCTTGGCCGATAAACTTTCAAGGACAACCATATAGGAGGGAATACTGCAGAGAAATATTGCTATGTATTCACCTGTTGTTTCTGTCACAATACTGCATTTTTTTTCCTCTTTGTGCAGACAAATACAGTGACATAAACAGGACATCAGCTCTGTGTAAGATAGTTTTTTAGCACAAGATCCAGAGATTTTTTTCTTTCTTTGGTTCACGGGATCTTGTTTTTCTCAAACATGGACACACATGGTTTGTAGACAAGTCAGCAGGCGGAAACATGAACCTTGGTATACTCCTGCCAATGAATGCAGCATTACCCCACTGGCTTGCAGTAATTCTTGCTCCCAGCCAAAGATGTTGTCACCCCTCAGCTGTACTGGGATCCAGAGCTACAGCCTTGTTGTCACTGTAGACTGGTTTCTAGCATATTGCAACGAATTTTGGACGTTATATAGAGCATAAAACATGCAAGAGATCTCCAAGGGACCTGCACATATAATAATACAAATTAGTTGATACAACTGCACAGACATAGGACAAAACTCTTCATGTAGGGTGTGCTAAATGCTCCTATCACTGTGAAATAAAGCAAATATAAATGAGCCCAGTGCTTATTCCTATCACTCAACAAATGGATGTTGAAACACACCTGATTAGACTGCATAATTGATCAACACAGTGTAGATGACTGATGTCATATGTTTGCACTGACAATGTGTCAGTGCCAGGTTGTGAAGGACAGCACACACCCTGACTCTCCACACTTTCTCTGGCTTGTATTATTCTCCCGTGATTGAATGCTGGCACAAGTTGAGACCTAACAACCTTCAGTCTGTTGTCATTACCAAACAAGAACACAGGATCCATTTTAGAAACCTGGGAACTTAACTCAGATTTTGGCAAGAGGTATTTGGTCTACAGTTTGCCTCCTAGACCACAGTATTGAATTTGCGTCATTGGTCAAAGACATACCTGGTGAATGCTTTTGTCCTTTTCTGCATATTTTGTTTTGAATGTTTCCTTAAATATTAATGTAAGTTACTATTAAACTACTCTAACAAGAACGAAACCCCTCCTATGCCCACAGCAAAGTAATGTAGGGGTCCTCTCCAGCTCAGCAGTACTGACTCTAAAAATATTTAAAGGACCAAAGACTTGCACATAAAAAGTGTTAAACTAACACCATTTCTGATAACGGCCACACCTAATTCGGTCGCTACATCCGCACTACTTTTGCTATGTTGACATCTCGTGTCCGCACTACTTTTCAAGACCCTAGAATAGACTTTAGGAAATAATGAAAGACCTGTTTTTAGTTTGAAAACTCCAGGGGTGCATTTTAGTCTGGGCGGATAGAAAGAAAGACTTTTCAAACGATGATGTAGACACCCACTGTTGCTCCCTGATTGGGTCATTGTAATATCGCTGAATGACCCACATATGACATCTGGGTTAGTGTTTGTGAAGCTTCTACCGTGAGACCACAATGATCTTTTTTCATTTTCATACTTAACACTGCAAGACTAACATTGCATATTAGCTGAACCGCAGCGTCCTTACCATGAATCCCAGTGGTGTCCGCATGTTGTTGGGACAATTTTCTGCTCCATCTCTTTAATGTAAAGTAACTTGAGGCCAGTGATTTGCTGTGGCAGTAAAGCACAGTCAACAGCCTGTTGTGACTGAATGAAGCTGTTAGCAGATGCACTGAGTTTTTAGGTCATTGACAAAGAAACTGTATTTGCCTGGTTGGTGCATCTCAAATTGAATTTTGGACTAAGATGGCAGATGGATACTTGAGCAGTCAATTAACTATTTGTTTAAATTGTCTAAAAAGCTTTGACTTAAGTTAGTTGCAAGAATTTTCTCTTGTGGAACAATAAAGATAGCAACTGAACTAAAATTCAAACCCTGTGATTGAGTAGCCTCAGCTTGCTTTCCCTTTACAGTGACTGAGGGTAAATCCACAATGTTCCTATTTGTCTAAAGCCCCACATACTTTTTCAAAATGCACAATCGTCTCTATTTGGATTGTTCACTGCATTCATTTGGAAAAACTTAACTGAAGTTTTCTTTCATTTTGCTGCTGACTATTAACCCATTTTTCTTTAACTTGTCTAACAAGAGTGAAAGTAACGCGTTTTTCAAGAAAATGGCTGCAGGTTTTATGGGCATTTTTACCTTTGACCTGTATGTTTGGTTGCAGCACTTTATCATCTCTGGGACAGTGGGATAGTGTTTGTGTGTTTCTGTAGTTTATACTGTTGTGTGGTCATAAAATTGCCCTCTGTGCTTCCTTACTATTTTCCCTCTCTTGTGTCAGTACTGCACATTCACAAGCTGCCTTCAGAGTGTAGCTCGGCCACAGTCAGAGCTGAGCTCTCGCAGGCGTACAAGCTGGAGCCGGCCACTTGGCACAGATGCGATGCAGCAAATGGTACATCTGCAGCATTGGCCAGAGCCTGAGCAGGCGTCCGCACAGAGCCGCTACAGCAGAGGGGCTGAGGAGCTGTTCCTCGCTTCGTTCCACAGGGGCCACAAAGCCCACGCAGGCATAGTAATGCTGTTGTCATAGTAGCACAAAATATTCCATTACTGTCGTCTCTTTCACTCAGAATTTGATGTTTTCAGTGTTATTGGATACTTTTAATCTGCTGCTCTGTTGGAGCAAAAACTCTGTTTGATGGCAGAATTCACTAACAGTAGTTTTAGCTTGGTGACTGGTGGTCATGTGACATGGCTTGCTTTCAACAGTCTGTCAGCCAAACTCTTCACACAAGCTGACAAGTCGGTCCAAAGTGAGAACTGAGAAATGTCTTCACTTTTTTTTCCCCAAGAAACCTGTTCTCAACATGACAGGAATGAATATGAACTTAACTCCTGACTTCCAACCCCCAGTTTGGGTTGAAACACATTTAACACTGCACACAGTGTATATATATTGTGTTCTCCCTGGTCAGGCTGTATGCAAAGCTGAATAACTGGTTTAACTGTAATTACATGAGCAGTGAGGCTGTTAGAGCTCAAGCAAGTATAACCACAAAATACGCTTTAACATTGGATAGAGTGATAACATCTCTAGACAGGTTGGGTTGCATTTTCAAAATAAATACCAAACATGATTTTAGCATTATCTACCTTTTTTTAAGAAAAAAAAAAAGTAAAGAAAAAATCCTATTTACAGTGTAACCTAGATAATCCCAGATGGCTGTAATTGTAAACTGTTGGATTCAGACTGCCTGACTGTATTTGGTTTGCACAGAGGTCTTTTGAAATCCTGTTAGCTGTTGACACCAGCCAGCTCACAAGACCAGTTGTTCTGTCAGGCACAGATATGACTGGAGTACCGCACACAACAAAATGGATTTGTGATCCCAAAGAATACGACGGACACAGCTGCTCCTGTCGCTCATCATTTTCTTGCACCTGGTCACAGATAATAGATATTTCTGTTTTATCTCAAACCTATGAAAAACATTGTTTTGCATGTTGTAACTTTGTAGATAAAAGGACTTGGAATAGATGATTACATTTTATTTATTTGCCATGTTGTGTTAGGTTTTATTTATTTTGTTGTGTTAAAATACCTGGGTATTACTCTGAAAAGCAGATTAAGGCCTCACATTGTTTGGATAACTGTTGCTTCTTCTATATGTTAAGTCACACAAGAGCCCTTTTAAGAAAACTGCTTGAGTTAATGATTAGATGAGTTATCGCCTGAATGGCCAGTTATCAGTTGGACAGTGTGAGTCTACTTAAAAACCAACATAATTTGAGTGATAAGACCCAGGTTGATGCTTAGCATCATGCATACGCTCAACATATCACAAAGTGAAGAGCTTTGCGCTTTGTAATGTTTGTTACAGGCAAGAGCTGCAATAATTAGCTGATTTAGTTTATTATTCTGCAACAATTTTTAATAATCATTTAATCCTTTAAGTCACTTTTCAAGCAAAATGTAAAGTATTTATTTCTCATGCTTCTCATATGTGAATATTTTATGCTTCTGTCATATTATAGTAAACTGAATATGTTTGGAACTGTCTCTCAAAGAAAACTAGCAATTTAAAAAGGCATATCTTTGTCCATGGGAAATTATAATGAGCATTTTCCACTATTCTAATTTTCTAGATGAGAAAATAAATGGCAGGTTAATGGATGATAAAAATAAGCATGAGTTGCATCCCCTACTTGTGACAAATACACATTTACCAGCCTGTATACTTGAAAGTGTTAAGATGGTGTTATTCTTTATTTTGTTATAGTAAACAAACCTGATGTGTCAGCGAAACTTTGGGGAGCTTCATACCAACTGTGAAAGCCCTTCTAAACATAAAGTAAAACACTACAACTGTTACTAGATCATGGTTCAGTTTTTTGGGGAGTCCTGATTGTTGAATGGAAGTGTCCCCGTGTCCAGCCGAGCCTCTCACACTTGAATAAATAAATAAATAAATAAACTGTTCAAGCTTTGTCAGAAAATGATGATTTATGGAGGACTGCATTGCACAAAAAAACAAGATTGAGAAAATGTTTTCAGGAGCTTTAGTAAAGAATGACTTTTATTTGTTACATACATTCGTCTGAGTGAAGCTGCTGAACGCCAGTTGGTAAAAATAACCTCATTTCTCATCTGACAACTTCAAGCAGTTCCTCAAATGCACAAAGCTAAAATCTCTTTCGAAGCTATGCTCTTCACTTCCTTTATAGTTCCTTTATTTCACTCAACTTCACTTGAGCTTCACAGTTTGTCTCCATGTGGGAAACACTTTCTTCGAGTTCAGGCTTGAAGTTTGTTTAACAATTGCAATCATCCCTTTTGTAGGTGGAGTGGTGTTGAGGCGCTCACTGAACAGGACAGCAGACATCATGGTGAACATCCCAGAATACTATGCAGGGAAAAATGTGCTGATCACCGGAGCGACGGGCTTCATGGGCAAGGTACAGTCGCAGTTATATAGGCCAGTAGCCAATAGGATGTGACTGAACCCAGCAGTGTGAGCTAAGGAGCGAGCGAGATGAGAGGGAACCTGTTGGAAATCTTTAAGATGGATTCTTTTAACTCCGACATGTCAGAATGTGATGCATTAGTGCATAGTACACACAGGTGGTACATGTACTCACGTCACACAGGTTCCCCTTCCACCATGAAGTGAAGCAGGAAGAATGAAGATTGTCAACCTTTCACAACAAGTATTTTTATTTCTAGGTTTTTCAGAAAACAATTTTTGTAAACGGTTGATAATTGTGGCAAAACATTTATAATCACTGCCGCTTCCTAATGAAACACAGCATCCATTGTTTTTATTTGCAACGGCCTCTTCAGATGTCATGGAGGAAGAACGATTCTGTTCTTGTGATTTGAATAACTGGTTTACTTCTCTCCACTTCTGCAGTGGACAAAAAGTAGGTTACAGTTATACGTCGTGTGCATTGACTAAACAACCCGAAAGGGAAAAAGATGGGTTTTATTTTGTACTTTTCTCCTCTGCATGATCCCAAGTCACATCTTGTTTCATCTTTATCAAAGGTGCTGCTGGAGAAGCTGCTGAGGTCATGCCCAGGAGTCAAAGTTGTGTATGTGATGGTCAGGCCAAAAGCTGGCCAGAGCCCCCAGGCCCGCCTCGCCGACATTATCAACTGCAAGGTGAGGAGTGGGTTAAATGGACGAGAGAAAATGATCTGATGGGTGTTTTTTTTTTTTTTTTTTTTTTTTTTTTTTTTGGTTTTTTTTTTGAGGGGGTGAGGCAGAAAAGGAGAAGTTGCTCAGCATTGGTTAGTACCAGCTATGTGTAAGTTCAAATGCTGGTTAATTTGAACATGGTACAAGAGTTGCACTATAACTTAAAAAACTTGTTGCACCACATAAACTGGTTGCAACATATGAGTAAGATGTACCTCAAAAGTTCCATCTCTCCTCGGCAGGCCATGTTGTTGGAGACCCAGAGGAAATGCTTCTGTGATATTTATATCTCGAGCACATTTCCTGTGACGGAATGATCCCTTCTCATTTATAGCCCCCCTTTGACCGAAAGGTTTCAGAGACTATGTAAACGGAGCTAATGTCAGGAATTAAACAAGGAACTAAAAGTCCCTTTTTGAGCATCAGAAGAGCCATGAAGAAATGTAGCTTTCACTCATGAAAACAACAACACAGTCATCCTGTCTGTGTTTGTTTTTCCTGTTGCATGACTCTGATGTTTGAGTTTGATATGATGATTGAGGTGGAAGAGGAGACTCAAATCTCTACAGCGGACAATCTGACAAACAACAATGAAGCTGACTGCAATTTTTTTTCTCTTTTTTTTTCTTTTTTCTCCTCATTCTGTTGGTGCTTCCTCTCTCTCATTTACTCGTTTGCTTGTGCTCTCATCTTTTTTAGACTCTCTAGGTAGGTTTCTGTCCGCCTTTTTTTGTGGCCATTTTCAATTTGTTGAAACAGAGAAAATTAGGGGAAATTTTTTTAGCTTGACTTAGGAGGAAAGTACAATGGAAATTATGCCGTATATAAAGAGTTTAAAAATAGAAGCAGACAAAAACATCAGCTCTGTGTGGTGCAATGAGGAATCATTCCACAAATCAATACATGAAAGAAACAAATGCCAAGTTCCATCATGTTTTCTACATTTGTATTTCACAGTTTGAAGTTTGATAGGTGCTGTTTAATTAGGTGATCTTGTAGCACCCTCCTCTTCTGCAATTGTTGCACCTGACTGTAGAATTAGCACACATTTTGTAGTTACCGCAGCATCTGTGTTTCACCAATCAGTGGCAACCAGGGCTGAAAACTCTGCCCTTAAAGTTGCCAAACAGGGAGCAGGGACTTTTTTTTTTTTTTTTTTTTTTTTTTTTTTTAGCACCTTGGCCAGAACACAGGTTCTTGGTCCTCTGGGGTGGAAACGCCCTGTTTGATGAGACTTATATGCACACCCACACCTGTGCCGTATTGTTTCTTCGATTAGATAAGGCCACAAGATTTTGTGCTGCGTACACCTAAGATGGTAATTCCTGCTTGGAACTGTTTGTTTTTTACCAACAATGAAGTTTTCCAGACCTCTGATGACATTTTAATTATGACCATACTTTACGATGTAACACAGCCACTCTCGCCTTACTGTAAAACATCAGACCATAGTAGAAGGGATTAAATTAATGTTGAATTATTAATAAGGTAATGTAAGACAGACAAAACAAGTTGTATCATAAATTAGTTTGTTCACATTTGAAAGTAAATGAATCTTTCTTTTTAAAATAAGTCACAGGTTCATTCTGAGGTTTGTAGCATCTTTCTCCATCACATTATCCTAAAGATGCACTGCATGAAATGTCACTTGAAATGATACTTTGATTACAGTCGACTTAAGTTATAGCCTAAGTAGAGACTTAAAACTAAACTACTTACAACACGGCAGTTGCTGCCTTTACACTCAAACTTAAGACCTAACCTGTGTTCAGCTGGTGCAACAGGCTGCTGAGTTAAGGACACTGTAGGCTGATGGTGCTTAAATCAATAGCCTCTAGATAAGAGGAGGGATCAGAAGAAGTCACCCATGGGAAGAATAAATCTATAGAGCCGGGATCTGTTGCAGGAGGAACAGATGGAAAGTAAAGTGTTCTGCCATCACCCAAACACTGCTGATAAACCTACTGTAAGAAAAGGAGAGAAAACTCTCACAGTGACCCGTACACTGGATAAAAGTGTAATGATTTAAACCTGCACTTAGAATTTACTATGTACTATAACTCTGACACAATTTCGACTTCTTAATTTTTCCACTCAGTTGTTTGAAAGACTGCAAGATGAGCAGCCGGACTTTGCAGGGAAGATCATCGCAGTCAACAGTGACCTCACACTGCCGGAGCTGGATCTGAGTAAAGAGGATCAGAGCATCCTGGCTGAAAACATTAACATCATCTTCCACTGTGCCGCCACCATCCGCTTTAATGAGCCACTCAAGTGAGTTATTTTTGTCCTCAATAAATGCCTTATCGGAAATAATATGCATTCTTTTCCTGCCTATTCCTCTCCAGTGGCACTTTGTGAAATTGTAGCGTTGGTGATTGATAATTGTTGTGTTTATTCAGTGAAATTAATAATGAAACATCAGGCAGATGAATGTTTTACATTATGGGTGTTTACTTGACTTGGCAGTGAAAGCAGGGCAGTGTTGACAGATCGTGCTGATTGTTGTTTGCACTACACAGGGATACTTGACACCTACCTGACACACCTCCCTCAGCAAATGAGTTGTTCTGCACGAAATGAAGTGAATGAAATTTAAAGGCATGGTTCAGCATATTGGGTAATAAGAGTATTTGCTTTATTTCCCAGTGGAAATCAACATCAATCTCATGTGTGCATTAAAAGATAAGGCTGGTGATTTTCTGTTTTTATTACTATTAACAAATCCCACAAAAAACTAAAACAACAATGAATCTATCCAAATAACAAGTATTGTCTATGTATACAAAACATGATTTAGGTAATTTGTCTGTACCAGAGAGCTCCATTGTGTGAGCCGTTGCACTGGGTGACATGTTTCTTCAATACTAAAAATATGGGCATGGTAGTTTATCTGTAAACAGCTCCACAGAATAACGGCATCAATGACTTTCGGTCTTTGGAGAGTAGTTACTGTGAGGCAGAGGCCACTGTGCATGCTCGGACACGCGATTCTGTTTACATTGCTTCACTAGCTTGCTGTGCAACATATCACAACCTCTTGACTCTGAACTAAATGTCTGGGGCAGAGTCTGATACTGAGTATTCAAAAGAGAAAATGCAACAGATGTGTTGAGAGGGACAGACTGAGGGCATCCAGCGGAAATTAATTAATGTTAACCCGTTGACTGACAGCAAGGCATTGAGCTCCCCAAACAGGACTACGGAGGACTGGTGGTGCAGCTGCAGTCGATGCTCAGCAGTGCCAACCAAGGCAAAATGTAGATGCTTCAATGAAAGGGACAATCTAGAGCCTATACTACAGGAGCTGGGAGAGACGAGGATTCTGATTAGACACCACCCCGACTTCTCTGTTCATTTTGTCCTCCTTAAGAAAGTCTGACAGCATAACGCCACATTCAGATGGACATGTGCCCTGTAAAACAATGCAAGGAGTGGCGTTGGTGTGCAAATACAATCCAGGAAGTCCAGTTGGAGGAATGGATTGAAAATGTTTAAAAGCTTATTCGATGCCAAAACAAAACACAGTAGTTTGTAATACCCACACACAGGATTTTACCACCCTGGAAAGTTATCATGGCAGCAACTGTTTTATCTTCAGTCACGACAAACTCACAACAAATGTCAGAAATACAGCATTCACATTAGAAAGAAATCCACCAGTTGCAGATTCAACTTATTTTCTGCACAATGCTGCAGATGCTTTTGTTCAGTGTGTAAGGACACTTGCGCCTCCTAATTAACACCAAACAAAACATACAGCTGAGACTGAGAATGTCGGTAGTTTTGTCGGCATTTGTCATAAACCAAAGTACTGGACAAACTGAAATTGATTTTAGGCAGAACGATGGCACAAGATGAAAAACCAGAGGTCACCAAACCGTGGGCAGTTTGTCTTGAGTGGAATGTGAATTTCCTGACAATCCATCCCACAGTCGTTGAGACATTTAACTGAAAACCACACCACCTAATGGTGGCGGTAGAGTAAAAGTCAGGGGATCACCAACGACTCTAGGATTCATCCTCTGGGGGCAATTCATTCTGTCGCTGTTGAGGAGGGACGTTGCCATCCCTTATTATTATGATTATTATTATTATTATTATTATTATTATTAACACTTTATTAGGGCTTTCATGTAGGACAAAGGAAAAACATCAAATTCTCATATTTGAGAAGCTGAAACCAGGGAATATTTATCTGAGAAGTTGGGGGCAAATAATTTGTTTGGTTATAGACACGTAACTGAAAACACAAAAAATCGGTTCCTTCTATCCACCTGATGAACTATATGAAATTATTCTTTTCTTCATCTATTGTTTTAGATCTATCAAAGTTTCATTTTCTCCTCAGATATGTCAAACTATCCATTCCTCTTTCCCCCTTTCAGAGATGCAATGCAGCTGAACGTCCTGGCCACCCAGAAGATGCTGGCGCTGGCCCACAGGATGAAGCACCTGGAGATCTTCATCCACATCTCCACAGCCTACGCCAACTGTGACCGAGAGCTCATCGAAGAAGTCGTCTACCCTCCCCCCATAGATTACCGCAGACTCATCGATACTCTGGAGTAAGCTGATGTGGACTGTTTCCAATGAACTGCTACTGCACAATGAACAAACTGTGGTGATGGTTAACTTTAATGGCCTGGTTTGTGTACAGATTTGAGAGGGACCAGTCATTAGGATACAGTACCCTGGGATTATGGAGGTTTTTAAAAGGATTCTGTATATCTTTGGATTGCTTGATGCATTAAAAAGGAAGTGGGAAGGTATTATCAAGACTAATGTCAGTGATAAACTGAACATGCCAGCTTAGCCATGGCAGTCCGGTAAATGGCTGCTTAGTAGCACTAATGTTGCAGAGGCTGGCTGCCAGTCTCAGCTGTCAAGCTAGATTAGTAAAGCATTAGAAGCCTGCAGAATGAGTGGAGATTAGAGAAGTGATTGAGGGATTGTATATATGGTAATGTTGAGCTTTTTAGGGAACTTTTTGTGTGTGTGTGTGCGAGAGACAGCAATGCAGTGTTTGGTAGATAATGCACAGATAAACAGACCTAGTTGCTTTAAGTTGTTATCTAGCTGTCTCTAGGTGGAGGTGCTGAGTTTTACATTGAGGGTTGTTCGGTGGGACTTTGTTCACACCATAGACTGTAAATAAAGATGGACGACGTAACCTCTGTGACGTCACCCATAGATTTCTGAAGAGCGGTTTTGAAGCTCAGAGTGGGCTGCCCCGCTGTCGCCATTTTAGTAGTGCAAAAATGGCCAACGAGGTGGGGCATGTGTGCATGCTGGTTTTTGGCAATCACACTCTCACCCACAACTTTAAGCCTTAATAAAATTTAAACAGGCGAGTCATGAAGGAGGAAATTAGCTATAGAGACTGAAACCATTTTTTGTACCAGGCTGTAAACATGATTATTTCTGCTGTAAAGTCGGGCGTTTTAAGATGGGGGACTATTGGGATTAGCTCGCTTTTGAAGCCAGCCTCAAGTGGTCACTTACAGACCTGCAGTTTTTGGCACTTGCATGTTGGTGTCATTTTTCAACCCCGGAGGTCGCAGCTTGGTTTACACATGTAATTCAAACCTTGACCTTGGTCTATTAACTATGTGTAACCTTTACATTCAGTTTTTCACCTGTGCCATTTCCTTGTCCTCTGCACATTTTTAAATATGAATTAAAATACAACTTTAAAATGCCAAAATGAGTGTCGCCAGTAACTGTTTTGGGAACGGCCACTCAGACAACTTATTGTAACATGATATAGTGTAACCCAACTTACACTTACCCAACACGTTCTCAGTCACCATGACTATTTAACAGAAACACGGCCCGTTGATCCTGATGCTGTGTGGAGCAGAGAACTGATCTAAACTGCTGTAGAACAAAGTCTCTCATGTACTCCAGCGCTCAGTCCTTTCACTCTGCGTTAGATTATAAAATTGGCCAGATATTTGCAGAAATATTGGCACAAGGTGAACACAAGCGGGCGATGTCAAGCTACACAACGTGACACATTCCCACTTCCTGTGTAGACGGGAAGTTAAAGGACAAAGGAGAGGGTCGGACCACTTCCTTGTTGCAGAAACACATGAGGTCAGTCGAGACAGTCAGGAAATGAGTAGACAGACGTCTAACACAAGTCTGAAACGAGGCTCACTGCGAACTGGGGACGTTGCAGTTATGCAGTATTCATCTTAACTATTTGGCCGGTGTAGATTACATTTGTTTACATTTATGTCACAGAGTACGATCATGATTTTTACTGTTCCACTGTTTTCTTTTGTTTGTTTTTTTCTCTCCAGTTGGATGGATGATGAGCTGGTATCTGCACTAACTCCCAAGCTGATTGGACAGCGTCCCAACACCTACACCTACACCAAAGCCTTGGCGGAGTATCTGGTGCAGCAGGAGGCTGGAGACCTCAACGTAGCAATTGTCAGACCCTCCATAGTTGGAGCCAGCTGGAAAGAGCCCTTCCCAGTGAGTGATTCAGGGTTTTAGTGTTGCATTGGGTTTATTATTTTATTTATTTATTTATTTTTAAACCTTAAGCCAGGAAGAGAATTAATTTTGAATAGAAATTGTTACCAATTACCAAGAAAAGAGCAAAGCGTATAGAAAAAAAGACAAATCACAGCATGGGATCTACTGTCATTTGCCCTGGTTTCAAGATATGTGCCAGTCTGCTCAGTGATACAACAGGAATTTTTAAATCAAAGTAAGAAATTCTTACAAGACCATGCTAAAAAAAATTTGCACTTACATTTTAGAGCTGCTGCTCTTTAATGTAGGGTAAGAAGCTGTTGTTACTGTGAGCAGGGACAATGTAAAATGAACTTATTGGTACAAGAGATCCGTATAGAAAATAAAAATTTACCATGACAGGTAGCATGCAAGTGGTCTTGCTTTTTGGGCAGTGTTTAATACCAGCTGTGCCACTGAAAGTCCCTGTATCAGCACAGGCCTGACACTCCTTCTGTTCCTCCTCTGAGAGCACAACGCCGCTTTGCTGCCAACACTCAGGCGTTCTGTGCTGTTGAGCTACGAACACGATGATGGTGGGAGTCGCAATGTGAGGAATGTGGAGAAGTTCTGTACACCTTTGCACCTGTGGAAAGCAGAGGGGTTGTTGGATTTCTGGTTTAGGAAAATTTGAGACGTTAGGTGACACAGACGGCTCCTGTCTGAATGTCTGAAAGGGACATTTCAGTTTTGTGTGTGTGTGTCTAAGCCTTTAGGGTTGCATCTGACAATAAGATCTTTTATGCTGATTAATAAGTTAGTCTTGAAGATGTCCAAAAAGCAAACAGTGCATGAAGAGACAGCCTTTTTTTCAATGAATCAGCTGACTGTTTCAGTACTAATTTATGCTGCTTTCCTCTGACTGTTTACACAGGGTTGGATTGATAACTTCAATGGACCAAGTGGAATATTCATTGCAGTAAGTACTGGCTGAAAAACAGTTTAGGTGGTCTAACAAAAGTCTGTGTGTTGTCAGTAGTGCTAATCCTTGTTGTCTTCACTTAATAATCTGTATTAGAATACTAAAATAATATTTTTTTATTGATTTTATTTTTTTCAGTTGATTGATTTATTATTTGTTCTGTAAAATGTCAGGTAATAGTTAAAAATGTATTTGCAGTTAAATATTTATAATTTCCCAAAGCACAAAATGACCTGTTCATGTCTTATCTGCCTAACAATCCAAAGTCAAAAATATTCAGTAACCCGTCATATATGACTAAAAAGCATGACTAACCCTAACCGAATCCTTTTTTCCAAGAAAAAATGATCAAAATCAAAATAGTTGCCATTAAATTTTCTGTTGTTCAATTAATCAACTTACTCGTTTCAACTCTGGTACAGCAGTGTTACTGGCCTAAATCCTGAAATGCATTAGTCACTGCAGCTTAAAATTGTTGAAATGACATGTTGACACATTTACTAGACAATTAAACAATACTTTTAACTACAAAGAGATTTATTTGACAGTGTAAACAAACCTGTTTTCTGTTTGAACTGAGAAAGTTCTCCATGTAGACAGGAATATTTTTTGTTGGCCTTTTTTTTTTTACTGTGTCCATGCAGATTAAAATGGTGTGCTGGCTCACTATCACCAGCTATTTCTCTTGTTTTAATCTTCTCACGTTGAAGTTTGCACATCCACAAAACCTCAGTGGAGTAGTTGCTGAATCGGTAAGAAAATCAGTAAAATCCAGTTTTGTAGCTCATGGAGAAGCTGTGATTCCAGTGTGCAGATACTCCATGTGTTGCAAAGGTGCAGGTTGTACTGGCCCGTTTTAGGTCTTGATCTGTTGGCTCGGAAACATTAGCAGCTGTATTATTCGTCTGTTCGTCGCCCTCTGTAGGCTGGTAAAGGGATCCTGCGTACGATGAGGGCGTCTAACGATGCTGTGGCCGACCTGGTGCCTGTAGACGTGGTCATCAACGCCACGCTGGCTGCAGCTTGGTACTCTGGATCACAAACATGCAACAGGTTGGCAGGTTACATAAATATATACATCCTGTGGGCTTTATTATTGGGAATTTGAACTTGTATTGAAAAGTGTATTTTTCCTTGACATTCCATGAAAGATAAGATATAAAATATTTACTTTTTTTTTTTTCCAGGCCTAAGAACATCCTGGTGTACAACTGCACAACCGGTGGGATCAACCCATTTCACTGGGGTGAAGTTGGTATGGCATCTCGTTTATGTTACCTAAACACAGTCTCGGGAAAAGCCCTTGAGAGTGGAAGCTTAGATGTGGTGTCTAATGACATAACCTGACTGTAATCTGATCCACTGCCTGCCACACCCAAACTAAGAGCTTGTGTTCACCTGTTCCTTATGGATCCTGGTTTAGAGTAGGAGTGCTGTGGCATTTTCTCTGGACATGTTCCTCGGATATTTAACAATCAGACTTCTTGTCCTTTTTTAATACTATTTACAAAATAAGATTGATACACACTCCCTAAACTTAGAAATTAGAAATACAGATCTATTGGTTTGTTTCCAAACTTTGAAAATGAAATGAGATCTGGGAGCACTGGTATAAAACAGCCATAAATCATGTTACAACTTGCACGTGAGGAATTAAATAATGACAATTAAAACAACGCCATGACAGCTGGGCAATCTGTTGATGAAGATTGTGTGATACAAGCGAAAGCTCCAAAACGGCTATTAATAATTAGTGCTTTTGTGAAGCTCAAGTATTTTCTTGAGACATCAGAATTTCTTTATTTAACTTTTATTTCAAATAGACATTTGAGGCCATTTTTGCACTGGATATCATCATCATAATAATTAAATGTAAAATTTCTTTTTTTTTTTAATAGTTAAATTAGAAATCCTTTACTGCTCATTGATGACTTTTGTTGAACAACCTTCTGTTTCTTAGAGTACCATGTAATATCCACATTCAAGAGGAACCCCCTCGAGCAGGCCTTCCGTCGGCCCAATGTTAATCTCACATCCAATCACCTAATCAATCAGTACTGGATCGCCGTGAGCCACAAGGCTCCGGCCTTCCTCTATGATCTGTACCTCAGGCTGATTGGACGAGAGCCCAGGTAACCTCATCATCGCCGACTCGGACGTGCCATACCTCTGCTGTTTTAACGCCACCCCTCCCCCCCTTCCCACGCCGCTCCATACACACACAAACACACACACTCCTCTGCTGCTTTACTCCTGTCACTTTTCTTTTAGTGTACTAGGCTTATCATTGTAGCTGCGATGCTAATGAGGACGCTTGTGTACAGTTGTGTTGGGAGTTGAAGAATGTAGAACCCAGCTGCTCCTCTGCTCGTACGGGGATTCCTGATGGGTTCTGCACTCTTTTTACATCTTGCTACTTGCAATGTTAGTATTTTCAGCTGGGTTCCCAAACTGTCAGAACTAACGTCATCTCAGTCCAGCTGATAAATGGACTAAGGTGGACTTCAGTCTGATGATCCCTTTGGGAACCCAACCCAGGTGCTGGCCCTTTTCAAAAAAACAACAAAACAAAATAAAACTCTGCTAGCTGCTGAACTGTCTCAACAATGAGTTCAGTTAACTGGAGCCATCACCTTTTTAAAGGGATAGTTTGTCTTATTTGACGTGGGGTTGTATCAGGTAGTCACGCATAGTCGGAGTGTAAGCTGCACTAGATTCAGATCCCGGACCCGGAGTGCAGGCACACCGGCAGAGCTGTGTATTGCTGCGCACGGGGCCAGCAGAAAAAATGTGTTTTAGACACTTATAAAAGATGCCCATCAAAACAATCCAATATCCGTTTAAATGTGCGCTTCATGTAGAATTCAGCGGTTTATCGTCACATGAAAACAGCACTTTCCTTTGGCATTACATTTTTTTTCAACTGCTGAACTACCGTATTCCTGCGCACAAGAACACCTATGGAGCGCATTGTATTACGCCGCGGCCGCAGGTCAGCTGAGTGATCAGAAAGCGGCTGAATCTAGTGCAGGTAACACTCTGACTATGCATAACCACCTCATACAACCCCAAGTCAAATAACCCGATCTATCCCTTTTTAACAATCCAGATCCCCTCTGATGTCATGGTGCTAATGAAAGGCTAGCAGCGGTCATGCTGTTACACAGGGCCTGCATCTTGCCTAGTATCAATAAGAGGGGAAAACGCACATTCTTCTTCATCTCGTCCTCTCTGTGTCCTCCTTGTCCTGTCATATGTGTATCTCTCTCCTACAGAGTACTGTATAAACATGACCTTCAAGACCAATCCCTTAGAGCAGGCCTTCAGAAGGCCCAATGTCAATCTGCGCTCCAACCCCTTTACTAATCAGTACTGGACCACTGTCAGCCACACGCTGCCAGCCCTGCTCTATGATGGCTATCTCAGGTTGACAGGCCGCAAGCCCCGGTAAGGTTGCAACTGCCCCCCCCCCATCCTCCCCCTTTTGCATCCTCTTCCCCCTCACAGTCAGCCCCAACCTTTCCCACATGTTCCCACACACCCACCCTCCCCCCACTATGTTTTATGTTGTTTGTTTTTTTTAACTCACTGATTATGTGGGATGGTGGGAACAAAGGAAGGTTATGGGGCAGAAGAAACAAAAGTTTTCTGTGCTTGTACTTGGCATCAGTTGGACTTTGTTAACAACGACTACGAGTGTCATGACAACACAGTTTGGTTTCTATCAGAGCATGTTTTCAGCCTTGCTCGTGTATTTTTTGGGGAATGTCTTTTGAAAACAACTTTTATTCAGAGAAGACTTTCCTTTTTGAGAACAAGCTATGCTGTGTGAACATGACATCCATTATTGTCACCCCATACTTCTCACCCAATCATGGAAAATCCTGAGGCACCATGGGACTTTTTGGGCAGTCTAGAAAGTTTGGTTCATTCGAAGACGGTTTATGTCCCACTGAAAACGATCCCTTTGCATGGGAATTGATTGGCATTCACATGTTTGCATTCTTTCCACTCTTTCCTACTTTATTCTCCCAAGCCAGAGGTATTTCAGACATTAAAAGTCTTGCAGTGCTCAAGTGTTCATCGGCCAAATTGCACGTAAAGATTTGGCTGTCTAAATAACTTTGGCTCAGTAGCTAACGCACATCCTAGGGGTGTGATTTGATCCTAATTGGGTATGTCACCAGCTGTAAGTAATTATATCTCTGCCTCTATGTGCTGATCATCCATGCATGTTTGTCACGTCCTCTGAATCACTCACCTTCGCAGGAGGAGTCTGAGTCATCTCAATCTGCCTCGATTTAGTTTAAATGTTTTGAATGACAGCAAATCATCCCGACGATAACGAGTCTATCATTGGAACACAGCCTATTTTAACAACAAAAGACTGTAATGGCTGCTACTATGCAGTTCAGACACAGTTTGAAGTTCACTTAGTAACAAAACGTGTGCAGGTTGAAGACTCAGATAATCCTCACAATAATGGCTACAGCTGTTCTTAACATTCTCACCACCAATTCTCACCCTAATTACACCCTAACACTGAAATGATGATCCACTGAATCAGAACTGACAGAAATGAAGTGTTTTATATTAACTGGATTCACTTGTGTTAACAGGAGGACAGTTTTTATAAACTTTTGGAAATGTGTGTCCACGAGACCAGAGTTAATTCATTTTGCGTTTGGGGTTTAGTTATTTTATGTTAAGTTATCACTGAATCTGACCTCAACTTGGTTCATGGGTCCATTTGTCGATTGACTGTGTCCTCCTGCTTTACAAACAGATTAAATCCAGTTATTCCTCAATTGATTTGTATGAGTCACTGTCCCCTGGGGGGAAATAATCACAATCATTTGACAACCCTCTTGATTATTTGGCAAATTTGTAAAATAAATCTTCTATAAATGTTGAAAATTTCTGAAGGTTCTTGGTATACACTACAGTTTATTTATGGGACTTGTTTTCACACTCAGTGTCCCCCCCCCCTATATATCCTTCCCACTCTCCCTCTCGGTCCGTCCTATCTTTGTTCCTCCTACCACCTCTCTCCTCTGCTTATTTACCACAATCCTCTTTCTGCTGCTTCTCCTGAACCGTCCCTGTTCTATGTCTGTCAATCATCTCCTCACTGGCTCCAATCACCTTTTATCCATTTCCATGTTGATCTTTTCTCATCGTCCTCCACCTTCTTCCTTCCTTCTCTTCGTCCTCACCTCCCTCGCTCGACTATCTTAGAATGATGAAGACGATCACTCGCCTCCACAAAGCCATGATGGTCCTGGAGTATTTCACCAGTCACTCCTGGGTGTGGAACACTGACAATGTGGCCATGCTCATGGGCCAGATGAGCCCCGAGGACAAAAAGGTAGGGAAGCGTGGCAGTGATCTTTTATTTATTTTTATATATATATATATATATATATATATATGGAAATAAATTCTACTTCACATAATTCACACTTTGTTCCCCCGTTGTCCATATCAACACCCACCGCACACGTCAGATATTTACACTCTTGAGATGGCGGATAGATTTATCACCAAGTGTGTTAATGTCTGGTAGTGAACTGGGTACAATGGAGTGACTCATTCATTCACTGCTGATGTCAGTTTGTACTGAAAGACGCTGTTGTTCAGTAACTGTCTGAAAAATGCTGAAATTGTCGAGCATGTCAGTGGACTGAGAGTCCTCTTTACACATTACACTTACTGTTCCTGAAATATTCAACACTCACATTTGGTTCTTGTTCTCTCGGTGGAAACATCTTCTGACAAAATAATCCAGTTCTGTACATTATATTATTAAGTCTAAATAAGTCTTTCTTTTTGAAAATGTATCTCATGAAATCAATTTTAATTCTTAAGCGCCTCTCCCCCTCACAACTAAGGTTCAGGCTGCCTGGACATTCAGGAACTTTAAGTCCCTGAGCTGCCAACAATAAGCCCACCTCACTGTTCACTGATCCAACCACAGGGCATGTGCTGCCGTACCTTCAGCCGAAGGCACCACCAGGAGTTAAATTAGGCCACAGCCAGCTGGAGCTCAGCTCTGCCTCTGCAGGTCCAAATTACAGCCGACTGGAGTTCTGTATGTGACAGATACTCATGAAGATGTCCATTAAAGTAATTTAGCAATTAAATGTATCCCACATTTTGGCTTGTGACACTTTTTTTTCATAATAGAGTAGGTACACTCACAGAGCGCTTTATTAGGATTTAGTTGTTATTGCCAGACGGGCTGGTTTGAGTGTTTCTGAAACTGCTGATCTCTTGGGATTTTCACACACGACAGTCTCTAGAGTTTTTACTCAGAATGACGAGGAAAACGAAAAAAAAATAAATACACATTTGTTTGCAAAGGCTTGGCAACCCTAAATAATAATTATCAAATGTTAGCATGCTAACAGGCTAAACTAAGATTGTTAACTATGTAAATACTACCTTCAAAGCATCAGCATATTAGCATGCGAATGTTAGCATTTAGCACTGTTAAGTTAAATTTAGTCATTTTAAAATAATTTTGTATTTGTTTTTTAATTTGATTTACTGTTCCAAATAGAAATATATTTACCTAACTGTAGTAAAGCATTTGTTCATGTGAAATGTTTACTAAAACGTTTTTGCCTCTGTACATATATGATCACCTTGGTGTATGTTGCTGATGCTGACATTTTAAGGTTTTCAGAGTACACTGTTTGTTTCTCTATTTCTGTAGGTGTTTAATTTTGACGTGCGCCAGCTGCACTGGGCAGAGTACATGGAGAATTACTGTATGGGCACCAAAAAATACGTCCTGAATGAAGAGCTGTCTGGCCTGCCTGCTGCACGCAAACACCTCAACAAGTAGGAATCCATGGAATCAAATACGCGATTGTGCCAGCACATATAGACTCAGGGAAAAATGCTCTTTGTGATGATCTCTGACAGACAGCTGGCTGTTCTTTTTGGAAGTAGGCTTTTTACATCTAGGTCACTATAGATAAATCTCTGCATTATCGCTCACATATCCTCTAGATTTTCAAGTATTTCACTTCATCCTTCCATTAAGCACTGATGTCTTTTGCTTTTGTCAGGGATATGAGTTTTATCCTGCCAAACTTTTCCCAGTGGAGAGCACATTTACAGTGGCAGTAATCCTCTGGGCTTCAACAAAGCTCATGTAAATAATTCAGCAAAGTGGGTTAATTAAAAATGGCAATATAAAGAGCAGTATAAAAAGAAAAGGACTTGAACTATGATTTGTGTTTGTAGTTATTTTTCTCTGATATTGGAATCTTCCTGTTGAATTTCATCACTTGTTTTCCAGGCTGAGGAACATCCGCTACACCTTCAACACCATCCTGGTGGTGCTCATCTGGCGCGTGTTCATTGCCCGATCCCAGATGGCCAGAAACATCTGGTACTTTGTGGTGAGCCTCTGCTTCAAATTCCTCTCCTACTTCAGAGCTTCCTCCACCATGAGATAATGAGCCGGGGACACGGTGGCGGATGGCGAGATGGAGGGATGGAGGAATGAAGAAAACACTGGCTTTGGATGATGAAAGGAACCGGAGCTCAAAGTCCTTCAAAATGGTACCACACTGTCTGCCTTTGGCCCCGTGTTCGCCCTCGCACTCAAAGATTAATTGGCAGCGTTAAACATCGTGGACACTGAGCTACTGGACAAGCCTCTAAATGTTGCATATGTCAGATCTATCTAACCCGATCGCTCGCATTTCACGCAGAGGGCATGGATTTATCAAGAAGCAGGACCACACGCGCTGGTTCTGTTCATTTCCAGTCACTCCAGTCCCTCTCTGGTGCCGGCTTTTACTCCGGAGCACTTCCTGTAAACCTGCTCCATCTTGTCTGTCTGCTCGCCTGGCTGCCTGTCTGCAAAACAAAGCTATGCACTGGATGATGCTCTGCTGCAACAATCCTTGGCTGGTTTTGAGTCAGTCCAGGCTTCATGTCCTGTACTGTAGGTCTTTTTCTGTATATGGAGTCTTTCATTAAAAAATAACCACTTCAGCTGCTGTATGGGTTACATCTGTCACGTGAAAACATAACTCCAGTTTTTTGTTTCCTTTTACATTTGTTTGTCATTTTTATGCTAGTACGCCCTGCGGAAATGAAAAACCTGTTTATAATAAGCAGGGATTTCTGGGGTTTTCATTGGACAGCAGAATTTGCTAAAGCAAAGCATGAACTATACTCAGCTTCTGGGGCATTGTGGCTGGTTTTTCACATTTGGTTGGAGGCAGATGAAGAATGATTCTGGTCTAGGGATCATTGTTTAAACTCTGTCTCTCTCTTCAAACCCCATCTCCAAGACCAAAGCCATTTCAACCAACGTTTATGACAGCTGCTCTGATCAGCTTGGTGTAAAGAGAAAAGTTGATGTTGTCAGAGTTTGGGAGCTCGCTCATACCGACCCTTCTCTCATCAAGTGTTGTCATTGGCCTTCTTTCCCTCTTCTCGCTTGACAGAGACGCTCCCTACGACAATACTGCGCTCCTGTGTGTCTCTAGTGGACTGCAGGGGCCGGTTCCCTAATTTTCCACCAAGCACAATGTAGATTGTAATACGACGGCTTTAGCCAGTGCCTCCCAGATTCTTCTTGCATCAGCAGGTCTTGCAAATCAAGCTGCTTCTTCTACAGGTTCCTTTTTGTTGTTGTTGTTGTTGTTGTTGTCATGTCTGAACGTCATTTGTGACAATCGTAAAGCGATTTTTGCCAAAATACCTCTTAGCTTACAGACTCGTAGCTCAGTAGAGGATGAGATGGGTGGAGTTGAGAGGAGAAATATTGTCACGTTTGGCTTCTTTTTCTCCTGTATGCCTAAAAATTTACTTTTTTTTTTTTTTTCTCATTACTAGTTAACATCTTGACTCACACTAAGAATTTGATAAAGCTACCTGAACAGTAGAGTAATGAACCGTAGCTCAGCATCTTTGTGAAAAGTTTTGTTACCTTGGTCATTTTCTTTTCATTTTACTGGTTCATTTTCATGCTAGTCAGTTCTGTAAAGGTATGCAGGATTTATCATTTGTGCTCATTCTGTTACAAACTTCATTCAGTTGCCTTCATTATTCTTCTCGCTAAAAAAAAAAGATATTTGCCTTTTCAGACCACAAACGTTGGCTGGTTACAGAACTGGTAACATGAGCTAAAGTCCTCACATCATACATCTGTGAATCGTCTCTCAATGCCATATTAAGTCTTCAGTTTTCCCAGAAAGTGTCTGAAGAAGCAGGCTGTGGCCGTGCGCTGGTCTTTGGTTGTGCTTGCATGTGTCTTCTCAGCGTGTCTTGGGCTATAGCAACTTTTCAACACCTCCGTTTTGCCCTATGAATGTGGCTTTCACTCTCACAGCATGAGCTGTTTTTTTACATGGGATCATGTTACCGGGGGGAGGGGGGGGGATACACAAAGATGTGTGCAAGTGAGAACTGTGCCTGAACTTTTTGTCAATATTCTAACAATGTGAAAAGAGAGCAATCAGATATGTTTTCTAATTATTTTGTGTACAGCTCTATTTAGGTAGACTTCAAAGTATAACGATGTATTTTTGTGCTGATGACATTGCGTGGCTAATTTAATGATACAAAGCTTACTGAAGCAACTTCAGCTGCTGTAAATAAAACTTAAAAAAAGAAGAAAAAAAGGTGAATATGTAAAGATAAGTACAGTATGTTCAGAGCGGAGTTCAACTGTTATGAGTTGTTTGTTGCTGTATATGTACATGTACCTTCTTTTTTTTTTTTTTCTCTGAATGTAGGAGAATGACACGGCCTGACGTTTTGTTGCACAGCCAGAATCTTCCTCTGACTCCTCAAATGACAAACTAACAATATTATAATTGCCTGTACTAAGTGTTTGTTCCCTGGAGGGCTGTGTGACGAATTCTTGCTGTTGTAACTCCATTCCCTTGTGACGGTGTGAGTGTGTAGCTCAGTTTTGTGGTGGTGAATGGTTGTGGTCATGCCCTTGTGTAGTTTGGTTTCGGAGAAGGGGGGAAAAAAAAAAAAAAAAAAAAAAAAGCAATGGCATGTCTAATTCAGGGTTTTCTTTAAGCTTGTTTTTGTGGTTAGAGAAGTGAGACGGATGAACGGGTCCTTTTCATGTTCTCGCTTTTGATGTCAGCAACTACTGAATCTACCAATGACTTGCCCATCAAACAGGGCATTACACAAAAGTAACATCAGCATTAGAATAAATCCTAAATAGTCACATTGATCCTTTTTTTTTATCAAATTTAAAGCCCCTGAAAACGTGGCTTCAGATCTTTTAACATTTAGATATTCATCACTAAACGAGTTAAAGGATTAGTTTGACATTTTGGGAAATTTACTTATTTGAATGTTAGATGAGCAGATTGATACAGCTCATGTCAGTACAGTAAATATGAAGCTATAGCTAGCAGCTGGTTAGCTTAGCATAAAGACTGGAATTCAAGGGGTAACGTGGCCTGATCTTGTTCAAAGGAGACAAAGTGCAGCTTTTTTTGTACAAACTAAAGGAGACAAGATATTAGCGAGCTTCAGAAGCGCCGAGTTGGATTTTGTTACCTTCATGTACAGAGCTCGGCTAGCTGTTTCCCTCTGTTTCCAGTCTTTGTGCTAAGCTAAGTCTGCAGGCTCCAGTTTCATATTTATGGCACAGACACGAGTAACCAAATTAATCTAACTGCTTATATACAAGCATATTTCCCAGACTGTTAAACTATTATTTTAACACTCAAAAACCCAGCTAATCTGCTTTACTTCTTTTCTTCTTTTTTTTTTTTTTTTTGAAATCAGGACTCAGTAGGTGTGGTTTGACAAGATTTTAATGACACTTACTGGCCTGACCTGTCATCAAATTTTGATCTAGATGCATCGAAGTCCTGATTGGTGGATAGAAATCTGTGACATCACCTTTTTCCAACTATGTCCTGCCCACTTCAAACCAGTGAGAGCACAAACAGGAAAAACAAATACATAAATCTTATGTGAAATAATCAAAACTCCCAACTTTGGCAGAAAATGTTAATGTGTGTTAATGTAGAAGCCTGTGACTCAGTAAAACAAAAAGGTTAATCGAGAAAATGGTTTTCAGGGCCTTTGAGGAAACTGGATCACAGCTTTTGGAAACCTCATCTGGTTTATGTATATAATGGTAATATACTTTCTTTTTTCCCCCATGAGGCTTTTGTAGGACTTTCTTTTCTTTTTTTTTTGTTATGGTTATTTAAAAAACGTTTTCATGCTTTAATCCTGTGTTAATGCACTGTTGAAATGTTAGTCTGTTTTTCTCCTGGATGTTTCAGATTTGATGGTCTGTGTATTAATCACTTACATCAAAGTAAGAGTGGTGTCTTTTTTTTTTTTTTTTTTTTCCTACTTTTCCAGCTTTTTGTTTTCAGGGCTCAAAGATTATGTTCGCTTCTGTTAACGTGGCCGACACACGATGGGTCCATACGCTGAGGTTGTGATTACATTCAGACTGGAGTGTTCGTTTAAAAATGTGCTGCTCGTGTGGTTGTTGAGGTGACTCTTGTTTCATCGCTCCTGCTCTGAGCAGTGTAACGACTACAGGCCACTACGTCGAGTCTCAGAGGGAGGAACAGGAGTTGTTGCCACAGTCAGTGTCAATGTAAGACTCCAAAAACAATAAATCAATGGTGCCTTTTGTTTGTAAACCAAAAAGAAGGAATAAACGGCGTTTAATCCCCCTCCTGTTTCAGAAGTTTGATTTCTTCTTCGTTGGTGACGGGTGTGATCGACAGCGTATCAAGTGAACCATTAGTCTCAATCTGTCCAGCTGACCTGTTTCCTGTGGTGCGTAACAGAACCGTCCCTCCACTTCACGCGCTGTTATCTGGAAGCCAGATTAAAGTGGAGGCTATTGAACAGCTCCATTAAGATTTAATGCTGCCATTCAGGATTACACTCGACTCTGTGGACAGAAGGATCGGCCTGTCCTCGTTTGGATGGCTCAGTTTTGATTTTATAGAAATGACTGGAAGGGTAATTCTCAAAGGAAGATTATATCAGCGCCCTGCCACAGTGACCTTTTAGCTTCTGCACGTTTGCATATTCAGTGTCAAGTGTAAAACCTGATTTTGATTAGGGGTTTGATTTTGGTCCTTATCACATGAAAGCTGTGGAAGATCAGATGATGCCTGTGACTGTGTGAACCCACACAGGCACAGGTAACGTGATTACTGGTGCACAAAATTGCCGTTGTGCCTGATCTGTTGCCCTCGCTTGACTCTGGTTGCTAAGCAAAATGACGCTGGAGATTGTGTCTGGGTATTGTTTCACACTGGAGAGGCTTTCTGTTTCTTGCTGCGAGTGAGGAGGGTTGTGGGGCGACAGCCATGAAAGTTCATTTCCTACTTTGTCATCATCCAAAACTTATTTCTGTGGATCAAAACTAAAGCGGAAGACCGGGATCAGGAAAACCAGATCTGTTCCAAATGATCAAACAAAAGTTCTGCAAGGAAGAATAAAAAAAAATAAGATTATGAATTACAAAATCAAATTTCTGAAATACTAAATGAAAGTTTTGATGTCACTAAAATTATAAGTCATCAATTTGGCTTAAACTCGTGCAGTTTTACACGAACAATGAAGACAATGGACTGAATGATCTGTTAACAGCTGGCCATTTGTTTTGTGGGCCATTAGACTGTGAACGCAGCCCTACGGCAATGGGAAGCCCTCTGTATTTTATGCTCCTCCCTTCAACACCTGGCAACAGCAACATGGCAACTGTGGCCCAGCAACCATGCCAAGCACTGAGTCACAACCAGCCGTGCACACCCAGTGGGGCCAGGGCCACTGGGCTGCATAAACAGGAACCAGGGGCTTAGAGGGCTTAGAGCGGGAGCCCCGAGGCAGAAAACACAAACACATACACACTCGCACAGGATCTCGCTGAACGTCTATACAGTTCATAAGTTAATGAAAAGTTAATGAAGAGGGAGCAGGTTTACAGCACAGAGACTTAAAGCTGCACCTCACAATATTTTACATTAACAATGGATCAAATGACTGTGTGTAATATGAAAAGCAGGCGTTCATGGTGACAAACCCGACTTTTTTTTTTGTCTCTTTCAGCTCATTGTTTTGGTTTTACAGTGCGTAACTTCTGTAGATATACCGTTTACCGTACCGATCTTGTTTCCAGGGACAGAGGACAGCTGTTTTCACCCAAAAAAAAGATCTGGTGACCAAATTTAGCACTTAGCTTATGAAGGAAGTCAAACATCTAGCAGACAAATAGCTTTACACTTAACTCAGGAGCAGTCCAGTGAATACTAATGTTCCGTATCTGCTGGATGATCGTCTGAAAACTCAATCAGTTGCCTATCCAGTTTAAATGCATCAGTTATCAATGAAGAAATATGCTGCAATAGATGACATTTAAGAAAAAGGTTCAGGAAAAATGTCATCACTTACATCTGATGATATCAAGCCATAGTGTTGGTTTTATTATGCCTCCGCGCCGGCAACAGCCACAACTGATATCTCAGTAATGCCTTGACAGAACTAGATTTTGGTAGTCAAAGGTTAAGGTCACTCACAAAATGCGATTTTGGCCTTGTGAATGCAATATTTCGAGAACATGAAAAGTGTTTTGGTGAAGGCGGTAAATCTAGTTTACTCAGGTTTGTGGATATCTGCCTGTGAAATTTCTGCTGCCACCACAATAGAAGCCAATAGAATTTTGTTTGTAGTGTTTGCAGCATTGAAAATTGACATATAAAAAAAAAAACTCACCAGCAACATCTCTTTTCCCAGAAACAATGCAGTGGTTGCTCGGCTTAATCCACAGATATTGCAGTCAAAAACCTTTAAAGAAACTACTGTTTTGAAGGAATAGGAGGGGTGTTGGCTGAACTGACCCTTTAAAACTACCTATCAGAAGTAACACCACCCACTGTGTTATGTTCATTGATATATATTGCAGATAACCCTTTTAAATATATAAGGACTTCAATGGTAAGTCACTGGTATGATTCACGTCTACTTCCTGCTCCCTCCATCTGCCCGTTCCTCCACAAAACAGACACACAGTTGCAGGATCTTATCTATTTTTCAGTGTCAAAAGAGCAGAATAAACTCTCTGTGCTTTCCACTGGAAACCGCTCACATGAAGTGATATTTTATTCTCCTTACCATCACACTTGTGCTCCACGCAGAGCTGCTGTCTGGTAAGTACAAATGGCATTTTCAAAAGTGTGTGGTCAAATCTGTTAGCATCCCAGCTTCGGTCACATGTCTGACTCATTCCTTATGCAGGTGGAGCAGTTGGATTACCACGAAGTGATTGTGGTACGGGATCCGTTTCCCCTCTTTCTCCTCTTATAAAACTCACCTCAAAGGTCATGCTACTGCAGATTGTCTGGTCTCTTCAGGCTTTCACAAGGAGCTCTTTGACTCAGGGTGACAGTGACTGCTGTAAACCTAATGCACGAAAGCAAAAAGCACTGAAAATGAAATCCTACTGTGGACTGGAAATATAATTTTCTGCATTCAATGGATAGACGTGTTCCTTAATCTCAGACATCAAAGAGGACAAATTCACGCCCATTTTTTAAAATTTTTTATCTAAAGTTGATTTAATCTTTCTGACTTTCTTCTCTCTCTCTCTCTATCTGCATCTACGTCAGCATGTGTGTTCACATGTGCAGCAGTAACAGCTCGCCTCCCTTTGTCCGCATTTTATGACTGTTGCGTTACGGTAGCTGGGATGTTTGTGTCTTTGTGGCAGAGCTCCGCGCACCACGCCACAGTTGACCTTGAGAGCGTACTTTCATTGAGTAGATGCTGCACTTCATTTTGTTGTGACGTTTGAACTTGCCAGTGACCGGATGCCAGGGGTTTCTGGCCTGTTAATGTGTATCCCCTAACACACACACACACACACACACACACACATATTTCAGGGTCTTTAAACCATTTTGTCTCCACAGTAGGACCCAGTCTTGTTGTGTGCACCAGTGATGAGGACCACTGCCGCTCTGCTCTCTCTCTTTTTTTGGGTAAACACTGCCATCCATGCTGCTCAAACCGGTAAGTGACAGGAGATATAACCTTATTTGTCTCTAATGGATAAACACGTGCAGTTGAAGATGATCCCATACACAAATGTAATTATGTACATATATTGAATTCCTATATGTCACATATATGTCGATATAAAATAAAAACATAAAAGCTATGTAAAAATTATATATGAAACCTACTAGAAATTGGAACAATTTCATATATTGACATACATCTAGCCCATACAAATATATATGTTTATGTATGTATGCTTATATTTTAAACATGTTATACAGATATATATCCATCCGAAAGCCTGTCAATATATGTGGATATTATAAACAGTATGGGCAAAAGGCTGAGACCACTTTCCCAGAATGTGAAGATAGGAGTGTTAAAATTAATAAGAATATAATAACCAAATAAAAATTCGTCATATAGATATTTTTAATATATGTACATATACAAATTTTACTATGGGTATTTGATATATGTTATAAACATATATCTTCCTATATCCAGAGGATTTATATATGTGATAGTAATATAAGTGACATATATGCCAACATCACTCTTGGTATAGGGACATGTGTCTTATATTTATATATTTATATTTATATTTCTGTATGGGATGCAACACTGAACAGAATAAACGTGAGAGGTTTTTTTAGAAGTTTTCATCTCGTCAGGTTCAAAGTGTGGAGTTCCTCCTGTGTGGAGGCCGATGGTTCACTCTCTGAGGGTGGTCGGGGGGACCGAGGCCACATATGGATCACACCCATGGCTGGTCAGTGCTAGTCCACCATTCTTTGATTCTTTAAGTCTTTATTTTCTTGCCGAGCAGTCTTTTGGTTTTCGGCTTTCTTTGCACAGTGACGCTGTTTCATTTGCGTTTTCTGTTGCTGAAGTTTTGGTTTCTTTGTCCGTTCGGCCGTTATGCTT